CTTAAATTGTAAAATATGCAATTAGAGACCAGCAATGCAACTTTCCTCCCCCAGAGTGTTACTAGAAAAAAGGAAACCAAACAGGCATCAAGTGTAGTTTCGGCAATACAACAGATCTGTAGAATGTCCTGCAAATTGAGAGTAAAGGTGAGAATATTCAAATGAAATGGTGTGTGATTTCTATTCTTCATGGATTGTTACCTATCTTTCTGTCATTTATCATTGGGCTACCAGCCATCCTCTTGCTTAATAGGACCTGAATTATCAGAAAACTACAGCATTGAAAATAAAATGTCCTTCTGCACATTAAGAAAACTAGCCTAAGTATAGTATATATGTGTATGTCAGAACTCATAATGATGAGCAAAATGTGTTGTAAAATGTTTGTAAATTAACATAGTTACAAATTAAATGTAACTTGAGTTATCTGCTAGTCTGAAGAGTCTTGTGATTTTGTGCTAGTAAAATTCAAGAAGCATTAGGACACATTGTGTAGCCTCTCACTCAATACAGTCTGTTCAGCTGTAAAAGTAACGCCATTTTTCCAGAATGCAAATCTCTTCAATTTGTCTCCTGAGCTGTAAAAACTCCCTATTAGTCTGACTTGAGATTTTTTGCTTATGTGTAAAACCTTCATGTCACCATAGGGTTCCATTCTAATTTAAGCACAAAGCACAGATAAAAATGCTGGAATCTTGTGTTGCTTTGAATGTACACACAGTGCCAGGGCTGCATCTTATGACCTGAACTTTCTTGAGGCGTTTAGGAATCATGACCTCAAATTAGGACAGATTTAAATTCCATCATTTTACACTTTGCAGACAATGGTCTTTGGTGTAATTCAGCATTTCCAATGTCACGCATCGGCAGTGTGTATTCTAACAATATGAGAATTATAAAGCACTACAAAGCATTTTCTTCAAAAATATTCAAAGAAAATATCAGTGTTCAAATTTCTTTGGTATTTTTCAGCTATTTTCAATTATTCCTGCTTAAAAGGTTAGATATTTTCTCAAATCACAACAGTGCAATTACTTACTACCATGTTAACATTGAAGTTGATGTCAGTATTTTTTTTGATCCATAAAATCCATCCTTCTGTCTTCTAACTGCTTTTATCCAGTACAGGGCTGGAGCCACAAGGCAGGATTGTTATAACAGCTAAATGGAGTTCAGTTAAACAGAAGTTTAGCCGGAGGTCAAATTCTTATCTGGCACTCCTGCTTCCCTACATACAGTATCAGTGCTCCCAGCCTGAATGCAGCACTACATTCATCTTTTCTACCACTCGGCGATTCAGTTTGTCACAGACAGACATGTTTCACACTCAACACTGCTGGAACCTTACCTCCATCTTCATTGTGTTCATCTCCTGCAAGCCAGGACCAGAGTGGCTTTCTCAGCTCTTCAGCCTCAACCCTGCACCTAAAACAAGTGAGTGGTTCTGCTACTGTTGTGCCATCTGCTCTTTTAATTCAGCTCTGCCAGTGTCAAATCTGCCATGAACTTCAACAATCTGTTGCAGTTTTGTCAACCCTTCCTGCTAGCTCTGTATTCCTAATCCCACTTGCTCCTCTCTTCTTCCTTTCCTTTTTTCTCTCCATTTTTGGCCGAGTGTCCAACTCACTGAGCCCACAGCGCCAGCCTTATGTGTGGTGTTTCTCCTCTCTCCTCCATCGTTCTTTTTGCTGGCCCCGATCGCTCCCCCACACTCTGCCCCAGAGGTGCAGGCACAGGACCCAGGCTTCCTCACTCATACTCCACACTGTCCCACTGTCCCTAGCATTCGGGTCTAGGCTGCTACAGCTAAGAGTCTCCCCCCCCCATTTACTCCCTTTCTCAGTTGGCAAAATTGGGCTTCTCCTCTTCCTCCTTTACAAAGTTTACAGCCCCAAACATGATATTAATAAAAATAATTCCTTACACTCCATTCAAGGCTCTTTACAGGTAATGGGGACTCCCCTCCACAACCACCAATGTAGAGCCCCATCTGGATGATGTGACACCAGCCACAGAGCACCAGTACACTCACCACACACCAGCTATCAGTGGGGAGGAGAGCAGAGTGATGAAGCCAATTCATAGATGGGGATAATTAGGAGGCCATGAGTGGTAAAGGCCAGAGGGAAATTTGACCAGGACACTGGGGTCCAACACCCCTACTCTTTTTTAATTTTAAAGACCACAGAGAGTCAGGGCCTTCGTTTTATGTTACGTCTTATCTGAAGGATAGTCCCTTTTTTTTGTACAGTATAGTTTCTCACCATTATACTGGGGCATTAGGAGCCACCCACCCAGACCACAGAATTGTAGGTTGATATATTTGCTGGCATCATAACCGATATTATCTCTTCTGGGGGTTCCACTAGGAATACGTTCTCATCTGTTCCATCCGGCAACCTTCAGCCAGCGGTAGCTCTCTTCCTACTTCCACGTCAAGCTGCTCTTCCAAATCACTGCAGTGTCTCCCACTGCCTGCTACAGAGCTCCAACCTCAGGCTGTGTCCCACTGTTCGAAATCTGCATCAGTGTTTTGGGGATTCTTTCTGTGAGATCAGATCTCCGACCAGCACTGTGAAAGGGGTTGGGTGAGGTCAACCCTTCTGCAGGAGATCAGGAAAAAGAAACAGTCCAGGCTTCAGAGGTACTGAAGTACTTATGTCCAGGCACAGCAGCAGCAGTATGAACAAGAGAGCTCTGCCGTTGTCTCCGACAGGTCTTTTTTATAGCCTATAGTAGCCAATTCCTCCTGCTGGTTAAACTGACAAATTACCTCATCCTATGGTTAGGAGCAAACCTTCTCCCCTGTAAAAGTTAATTTGGCTACTACAATCTGCTTCTTTGTTTTCATCAAATAATACCCACCTTGATGATCAGACAATTTGTCCCTGTCAGCTGTCTGCATTACATTTTTATCAAATGTCACAAAAACATTTTTATTAACACTTTCTAGATATAAGCAATTTTTTTAGACTACAAGTTAACAGTGTTCTGTTTACAGTTATGTTATAAAATCATAAAATTCAATCCTCCAACTGACATTTCCTAACACTGGCAAGTTAATATTTTGGTTTTAGATATGCTATCTCTTCCTATTCACCTGCTCACTTCATCATTAGAATTTGACCCAATTGCTGAAATGGAGTTAAGATAAGCAGAAGTTTGGCCGGAGGCAAATTCTAATCTTGCACTTCTCCTTCCTTTTGAAACTCCGTGGCTGAACACGAAGCTAAGCAAATCTTTTTCTAGCAGCTCTCCTTTCACCCCCAACTCCACTGTTGCAGTGTTTTCTCCCTGCATCCTTCATAAGTGAGGAGAGATGTGACTGAGCTAGTCTCGGACCAGCACTATCATTTCCTTAGCTGGATAGGCTTAAGCCGAAGTACTAAGTATGCTATCCCTTCGTTCTTGTTTCATCATTAGAATCGGACCGGACTGGTGAAACATGTCACCAGTCCACTGTGCCCATCACACTGGGCACTGTGATGTGAGGCCGGGCCCTTGTCCCCTGTCTCTGCCTGGACTCTGTTCCTGAGGCTGCATGTCTGCTTTGTGAGCACTGGGAGAGGACTGCTGGCGTGTCCCAACAGTACAACTGTTCATTTTCAGGCTGTTGTGAGAGAGGTTGATGTTACCAGGCTGCTCCACTTACCACACAGCTTCACATTCAACCAGCACTTTCCCCAAGGCCATGTGAAAACTCCTGTCAGCCCGGATTAACACAGACGTCTGCAGAGGGGGTGTGGAGGTGTGGGCATTCGACGTCCTTTTGACAAGATGAGTGGCGTTGCTGTATCTGCAAGTTGGCATGGACTTTAATTAAAAATACACTCACCTTTCAAAAAGGTCCAGAACGTCTTTCTCTTCTTCCCCGTGAAGGACACAAAAAGGATAGTTATGCTACAATGGACAGTGAGCTTACAGGGAAAAAAAAGGTATCAATGTTGCAGTGATTGGGTCAGGATTCCAAAACAGACTGAATACACATCTCAGCTTTTGAGTTGAGCAAAAGATTTAATTGACGAAATGGTGGTCACTAGGTCTATGGTCTATGGTCATTCTCAATAGCTATACTATATGTATAGTAATAACAGGTAGAGTTGGAGTTGCCAGCTGATTCAGTTTAAAGCCGAACATGTTGAATCTGCATACGCTTCTCCTCCTTCTTCCTCTACAAGCTTTTTCAGCATACTCTCAAAACTACCCTGGGTGCCTGGAACCAGGAGAAATTCTGTCAGTTTCAGACACTTTATCAAAAATAATTACTACTATAACAAACTAGAAAAAACTCTCTTTAATGCTAGTTCCCTGATCACTAAGCCCACAGAACAGTCAACCCTCGGACTGCAATCCTCTAAAACTCCCATTATGTTGAAGAGAAAATTGACCATTCTGTTCTCTCAAGAGGAAAATGACAGGCATTTACCATGTCACAAATGGTAATGGTCAGGGTTGATTACTTGTCGCTAGGCAATGTGCTAATTTTGAAGAACAGAAATAATTCCTTGAATTTGTATAGCACTTTACATATAGGAGGAAACTCTCTGCAGTTCCCACCTGGATGATAGTCATTCTGTGCCAGCAACCCAGGAGAAGTGAGTACCAGAGAAGGCACCCCTCCTATAACAGGCCAGTGAGAATGTGACCAAGTAGTCAGGACCACCTACAGCACAGTGTCCTCTGTCATCATACATAGGCACTGTTTTGGATATGCTGTTCCAAGGGACCATAACGGAATAGTGCCAGCTACAGGTCCAACTACCAGCATCAACCTGCTTTTCTTAGAGGCATGTGGTCAGGTGTGTGTCCTCCCTCCAGAACATTTGAACAATAAAACAACCAAGTGTTTTTCAAACCTTTGGAGGTCTGAAAAATTCTGTTTTAAAGAATTAAACACCTAAGTTTGATTCCAATACAAGAGCAAAAAGTAAATGCAGTTGGAGGCGGATGGAGATAATCACTGGTTAAAGTAGAGCGTGTGTGAACCTGTGCTTCTGCAGTGACATGCTTCATGCTGCCTCACAATATGGTGGTTACCTCTGTACCACAAGTTGGCAGTGCTAATGGAACAGTCTAAACTGACTAGACTTGTACTGTGGGTGTTCCCACAATCTGGAGGTCTTGTTACCTGAAAGTAATTACAGACTTGTGGTACATGGAGAGATTTATTCTGAAGGAATTTGCAAATAACTCTTTATCTGAGGTATATAAGGTGTGCTACACACCTCTAGTGATCCATGCCTGCTAGTTTACATACCCTGGTATCACACACAGGCAGGGCCTTGCTTTGGGTACTGCTCTGGAATCCTGGATTGAGATCCCTTCTCTGGTGAAACTGGCATTCCAATAGTGAGATATTTAGTCTATTTTGTATTCCTGTGTGCCCTGCAATGGAATGGTATCCCATCCAGGATATAATCCAGGATAGTTGAGATAACCCTTAACCAGGAATGAGCGTCTTTTTGACAATGGAAGGATGTATTCTTCTATGATAAAGAAAATAAATTAAGGTGGGGAGTGTCGATTGAATAAACAAGCACAGCAAATCATTAAAAGCCTTTGTTTGTATTTTGACAGCTTGGTCCATTGTAGGATATTTACTGTTGCTTGTGGATCAGGATAATCATGGCCTTTTTTTAACACCCATTTAAAAAAAAAGTCTAAATGAAATGGGCAAGAAATTTACATTAAAAAAAATAATTTAACATACAAAAAAGACTACTCAAGTGCAATCATAATTTATAGAAAGTATAATGTAACTATAGTACTGAACAGTGTGGTGATCACAACATAATACACAATACATAATACACACATTAATTCTCAAAGGATTTATACAGTATAAAGTCTGCAATAGTGATGGGTAAACATACAGTGGGTTTATCAACTGATGCCCAGAGACATTTTTAATTGTTTTAAACAAAAGGTAAAACAATCAAGGCTGGGAGTACGTGATACTCAAACCAGATCTTTCCATTTTCTACTCAGGACTGTCACTTGACTTGAGACTGGAGACTATTCTCCAGATGCCTAAAGCCATGGGGAACTGCTAGGAAACTTTTTGCTGTTGCGTAATTACATTTTCAGAGAGCATGGCAGCAGAATAATCTATAATGCTTTGAAAATATATATATATTTATTGCTTCAGTTTCATGTGGTTCCTCAATTAACAAGAAGCTGGGGACAAATCTTAAAAAGACAGTAGCCGATCAAGCATGTTTATTGTTATTTTGTAAAGCAAAACTATCCCTTAAAAGCAATTAAATGAAAACAAAAATTATTGTAGCTGAACAAGTTATTGTTATAAGTATAAGTTATTGAAAGTTATTGTTCATTTTAAAAGGAAACTCTCACACAAGGTACTTGTAGCAGTAATGGGTTAATTTTTAAAAGGAACTTTCCCCGGCACTTCCAATTCTACACAAGCTAATTGGGCTAAATAAAGGTTGCTGCTGGAAGAGGTGTTAGTGGGGCCAGCAGGGGGCGCTTACCCTGCGGTCCATGTGGGTCCTAATGCCCCCGTATAGTGACGGGGACACTATACTGTAAACAGGCGCTGTCCTTCGGATGAGACGTAAAACCGAGGTCCTGACTCTCTCTGGTCATTAAAAACCCCAAGACGTTTCTCGAAAAGAGTAGGGGTATAACCCCGGCATCCTGGCCAAATTTCCCATTGGCCCTTACCAATCATGCGTCCTAATAAAAATAAATGAATTGGCTTCATTACTCTGCTCTCCTCCCCACTGATAGCTGATGTGTGGTGAGCGTTCTGGCGCACTATGGCTGCCGTCGCATCATCCAGGTGGATGCTGCACATTGGTGGTGGTGGAGGGGAGTCCCCATTACCTGTAAAGCGCTTTGAGTGGAGTGTCCAGAAAAGCGCTATATAAGTGTAAGCAATTACTATTAATTATTAAATTGATTGTTTTTTTGCAGGAGACTATTACATTGTCATGCTGCCTTACAGTAGCTAAGAACGAAGATTGGTTCAGCAAATATTTTAACACTCAATAAATACATTCTTGTTTTAACCTGGTGTCCATCTTGAGATCTAGCTTTATCTAGACCTGTTCTTGTACTGTTATTCCACTGAAGCCTGTTTATCTTTCGATGACCCTGTGTGGCCAGTCTTTCAGGTACAGAACCTCAGGGGACAGTTCACCGCAGCCTGCAAGCCCACGGCCCAGGCAAGGTGTGAATATTAATCACAGAACCGGATCAGTCTGAATGGGGGGCCAGACGCCCAGGATGCAGAAAAGACTGCGTGTAACAGCCCTGCTTTTTGAGGCACTCCAAAACAGAAGCGTATCCAAACTTCGTTTCCTGTAACAAAGATCATTTTCTTTTCTCAAAGTGCAATGCAGCTTTCTAAGTATTACATCCCTGCTGCCAATGAAGTTGGCAATGAACGTAATGTTGATTGGGGAGTTGGGGTTTTCCACTGCTCCTGTCATAAAAAATCAGTTTCATGCTCTTTCATCACAGTTTTGTTACAATACGGAGCCACGCATCAATCTGTCAAATACTGCACTTTACTCTTTACTTACAGACATCTAGCATATGACAAGACACCAAAATGGTTTTATAGGGCTCTTTGGTCTATGTACTGTATTCGAGGACTGTGTAATATATGCAGTATTTTCACAAAAGAGATCCTCACACACTCACAAGGATCAACACATGTAGGTTGGGATAAATACAAGCAAATGAGAAGCACACAACAGTAGCGAGCCATGCGCCAGTGAAACCAGAGACACTGTGCTGTCGCACTGATGTGACACAGGCACGTTCACAAGGAGAGGGGGAATCAGGTTCAGCTCTCTTCACTCTCAATTCCTGACCGTGGAGTGGAAAGTGAAAAAAAACACTGTATATTATGTTGCCAAGCAGAGGCAGGGAGGATTTGAAATGAGACATCCATCACACAAGCAGCGACATTCCTGAGCTGTAGTTTCTTTTAACATTACTGAAGTATTCAGTGGACAGTTCTACATTTACAAAGCAACTTGCATTAATACCAATTTATACAGCAAGTCATTTCTCTGCAGAAAGTACCTTGGTCAAGGGTACAAAAGCAGTGTCCCACCTGGACTTGAACCCACAATCCTCCAGTTAAATGCTGGGAGCCCTGACTCCACACTGCTGCCCCACTGCTGTTGGTGTAGGAAGGCAGATGTTATACTTGATGAAACCTGTGAGTGTCTACATAGGAAGGTGATGGTGGGGGTTAGCTCCTGGGGATCCAAGATGATGTCTGCCCTCTGTCACTGCTTGTTCCCCAACACTATCTCTTCACATCCACCCATGGATCGGGATATGGTGAGATGTGTGTCATATTTATGTGATTCCTGCGAGAAAAGAGCAAGTTAGCTTCAGAGACTGAATGAATTCCAAGAGCTACTGGACCAGACACAAAAATCTATGTCTTGTCTCATTAGAGCTGTAAATGACTTAGGATCGGATGAAAATGATCAGGCATGAAGCAGACATTAATGACATGAAAATACACTGCACAACTCTTAAAGAGGAGTTACAGTTCTAATTTGGCAAAGCTCTAATATATACAAGCATACTCAGGCAATATTGACAGTCTTAGGGAAAATCATACAATAAGTCCTCAGACCACATTTAATCCTAAACTAAAAAATTCATGGTAATACTAAAGTCTTACGGAAAGTTTTGAGTAATCTGACAAGCCTGCAAGAAATGCAAAAATGCATTTCATGGGGTGTCATGCAGTGTGAGAATGCCACAATGCTTCCTGTCTGCCTTCTACAAACAACACTTTCAAGTGTAGTACACACAGATAGCGTCCCAGGTCCAGCTCTGTGAGGCAGCAATGCTAACCACTGGGCCACCGTGCTGCTCATCAATACTCAATAAAAAAGTCAAAACCACCATTTGTCCCATGCAGACCCTATCACTATTCTCTCAAACTACTAATTACACACATGTGAGAATGTGTATCTCTACACCTATCACCAGTACTGACTCCCTTTGTGGCTATTTACAACCATTAGAGGCCTTCTGGCAGCCTCTAGTGGTAGGTGGTCTGCAATTGCAGCCCCCTTTTTACCAGCCTGCCACACAAGTGAATCAAAGATTAATTAAATTAAGAGTTAATTGAGGGAGGTTATTCTGCTCTGAACTGTAGTTGTTGAAAGAAGAGTAATTAATGGTAAATGGCTCAGTTTTGCTAAGCCATTGATTGGAGGACCTTCCAGCACTATTGGACACACAAAAGCTTATTTTCAAGACATCTGTTACAGTGTGGACTGTTGTCCCCTCTCTGTGTTGGATTGTAAACCAAGCGCACACTTGCTAAAAATGACTTCACTCAGAGAATTGTGTTATTGCTCTCAGCATACAGTACCCCACTGGCGCTCAGAATTTCGAAGTCATTAGAAAAACAATGTTAAAAAGGTGTTATTCCTTGTTAACATCAGTCTGGCACATTTACTTTCTATGGGTACATGAATAACATTTAGAACAGGACAAAACAAATGGAAAAGGAGAAAATTAGCATTGTGTGAGTATAAGGGTTAGGTCTGAAAAATTGCTGTTAGTCTTACAATGTTATCAAGCAGCTGCAGAGAAACTGTATTGTGCTCACAATGGGTGCCACTCTCCTCTGTTGAGACAGACCCAGACCTTGTCTGGCTGAGAGTCTTGGAGCTTTCAATGTGAGTGAAGTACACAGCGTGTCAGTCTCAGTACAGTCTCAAAGAAAATACCATGGTAGGCAAGCACAGGACTCCAGTGTGATGAACTATACAGGTGATTTCAAAGCACTTGGTGGGGTGTTAAAAGTGCACGGGTGGTAAAAAGTTTTAAGGGTAAATGAGAAAAAAACGTACTAGTTGGATAATAGGGAAGCTGTCTCTCTTAGATTGACAACTCAGTGAATATCAGTCTGTGCTGCATTTGTCTTAGGTCTTTGTGTTTGTGCTCTTGATTTTTGGGACAAGAAAGCAAAATAGCAAAAATGTCACAGCCTCAAAAACACCTGCTCTAATCAAAGCTGAGGTTTGGAGCTAACCCTGCAAGAATTATACTTCATCCAGTGGGCATCATTCCCTTGATGTCACTCCAGAGCTCTTAAAACAAGCAGCACTTCTATTTTTGGGGGGGGCAATGTACTAGAAACTCCAAGCATTAACATACTGCAGTTTGGGATATCTAAGCCTCTTTGAACTTTTTATGTAGGTTAATTCTATTATTTCATCTTACTGATACTTTGTACTGCAAACGTCTTGTAGGAAGTCTGATTCTATAAGCCGTTTGCAGTACAAAATAGTGAATTCAGAGTTATAATAATATAACAATAATCATTACCCTGATTATTAGTTGCTGACACTCTTTATATACAGTAGCTATTAATTGTTTTAAGACAAAGTAAATATGGCCTGAGACAAGAGGTAGTGATCGTGGGGCAAAATTGAATGTAACCCCAACCTACCCCTTGTGGTGCAAATGCCGGTGAAGGGGCCGCTAGGATTTACTCACTCATAGACATCTGTGCTCTTCATCCTCCTGTAGAACTTGGCCAGCTTGACTGACAGAATGATGCTGGGAATGAGGAAGGCCATGCACCATCCCATGCTGAACCAGAAGGCATTCTGTGGGCAGAGAGACATAGCTCAGTCCTGCAGCAGAGTGGCAGACAGGGAGGAGGAACTTCAAAAGGACAGAAATATTACAATGGAGCTGTGAGTTCTTGTGTTGTTAACCTGCAAGGAAAATGAGGCGTAGGAGGGGGGCCTCTAACCGTGTTCAGCACAGTATGGAAAAGAAAAACCTGCTACATTACAGTGAACAGCCATGACAGAGACAGAATACAGCAGATAAGAACACAGAACCTGGTACTGTCTGTGTTACGCTACACTGTCCAACTGGATGGTGCAGGAGACTAGGCAGTCTGCTCCTAGAGCTGGGCAAGACAGGGCACTCGTCATTGGGGCGGTCTACCAGAGGTATGCCAGGACCCAGGCTGAGCAGGGCGTGCGCAATCAGAGCAGTCTTCTCCAGAGCTGAGCTAAATGTGTGCTGTCAGGGCAGACTCCAGAGGCGCACCAGGGACCGAGCTCAGAGCACAGTCAAGGTGAGGAACCGTCAGGGCCTGATGTTGGTGTCTTGCCCGACACCTGGAGTACGCCTTGGGGGTGGTCAACCGTGTCAGGAGCTGGGCTGAACAGGGCACACACCCACGGGGGTGTCCACTCCAGTGAACAGGGCCAAGCACGTGCTGTCAGAATGGACTGCAGAGGGTATGCTCTGGACGGTGCCAAGTAATACGCCCTCTGAGGCCTGGAACCAGTGCAGAAACCCCCAGCCACCCTGGCACACTCAGCAGGGCGGATAGTTTCTGGAAAGCACAGCAACAGATCGGATCCCCCAAGCAGAGTCCAGGTGAGTCAGGTAGCAGGGAAACAAGGGGAAAAATCCAGACAGGCAGGGTAACAAGAACAAACTGAAGATAGGCGAATTTCATGCAAACAGGGAGCAGGGAGAAAGCAAGAAGGACTCTACTGGGAAAACTATCCGGTGATTAGTGAGTAATGTGATACAAGATTGCTGAGGAGAAGCTAAGCAAAGCTTAAATAACCTGAAGCACCTGATGCATTATGACTTCTCATTACAGCCAGGTGCTCCGAGTATCTTGTTTCCTTGGCAACCAGTGCAAAGCAGGCAGAAGGGTGGAGGTGTGGCCCATGGGCACTACAGCTACGACGCCTGCCTCTGCTTCACAGCACATCCTGCCTCCTGGGTCCTGTCTGGTACCAAGGTTATCTGTAAATATTCTGGTATGGCTCAGCAAGAATCCCACAGATACTGTATAAGAGTTGAGTGACTGCAGAGCGAGTTCCTTCAGGCAGGCTAACAGCTGGAGGATAAGAGTTTCATGAACTGTTTTTTTTATTATAATGCAAACAGACAATGAGTATAGCACAGGGAGGCTATAGTATTTGCCTGGCAGGAACTGAAGGAGTAGGAGCTGTATCCCTGATGTCCTCAGTCCTTCTTTCACTCCTCAAGGTTAGGGGATTGAAACAGCAGGCAATGGCAGTTGACAGACGATGTGTGGATGGTTTTCCCTCTCATTCCAGGATATGAGAGAATGACTGCTGTAGAAGTGGGCAGGGAATGTGCATATGGCTTCCTCTCTCTTTCCAGGATATGAGACTATGAGGACTGCAGCAGTGGGAAAAGTTGTTAAAAACTCTGGCCTGTGCAAAAGTGATGGAGACACAAAGGAAGTGAAGATGGGCACTCACCAGACAGTCCACTAGGTAAGCACAGATCAAGTCCTCCGCTGTGTCCACAGCACCAGCCACAGGTCCACAACGACCCACGTCCTGAGTGATCTGCGGGAGGAGTGTGGAGATCCCGTGGGATTAGGCCATGAACTCGCAGGGAACCACCCATTACGTCCATTTCAGAGAAACAGACAAGCCTTGCAAGCCGTCTCACAGCAGGTGTCATGGGCTCAAGGCTCATATGGAAGACAATGCTGAGTTACCCAGTGGAAGTTCCCTGCCTTTGGTTTCATACTGTAGCTCAGGGGACCTTCAAACTAAAAGCTCCAATCTCTGATGATAGAAAGATCCAGGATACGTCCTGGCTTTTCTTCAAAGATGTTTTAGCTTCATTACTAAAGATAATACTCAAATAAAACCTGTCCACTGAGCTGTAGCTTTAGAACATAACTAGTCTAGCAACGCTAATCTATAACAGACAGGTGAGTCTAAGCCTTTTATACACATAAACACACTGTGTGAGAATTCCACCACAGTCATATAACTGCTAGTCATGCCCAGGTGAGCTGTTTATCAGCCTTGTCAGATTGTTTCGGCAGTCTCTATTGGCGGGTCCACAGTCACTGCAGTCCACTAATGGGGCAATCTGCCACACATTAGCAGTGAAAAATAAAAATAAACATATACCTTTTCTGCTTCCTCCATACTATTTCTACAATACCCAGCTGTGCAAGAAAGTGAAAAGGATGAAGCTGCTATGCAAAGGGAGTCTTATCTTTCACGGGGAGCACTTCACTTACAGCTCTTGTTACAAGTTAAAAAGGGCACTGGAAATAAATGCCACACCAGCAAACAAACATTATCAACAATTTATAACCAAAACTGAGCAGACAAAGATTTTTAATGGAAAATACTTTGTAAGTATAAACTGTAAAACTTGTTCTTCAAGCATGCACAAGAGACTGTACATATATTTGAAACAAAATTAAAAAGAATTCTAAGCACAAATGGGAAATACAAAGCTATCACTTTGAATGTATGCTATCAGTGCACTGTATAGTCATCTGAAGAATATAATTTCTTCTAAGTGCTTACAGAAGTAAAAAACCTGACAGAGCAAGATATCTGTATTATTTACTGTAATATTCTGCCATGATTTCTCTTAATGTGAGAGTATTATTTGAAACGGTTACCAGGACTTACAAAGGCAGACAAACAGAGACAGTACAGACTGATTAACGTCATTTTAACCTCCTAATGAAGAAAACCTATCCCAGTAAAGAAAATAAATTCTCACTGTTTGTCGGGCCCAGTCTGTGTATGTCTCAAAGTATCCCATCTGACAATCCAGGAATTTTTCACTTTCCTTCAAGGGTAAAGAAAAATGTGTTCAATTATCAGGGAGCAAAACCATGATAACATGATCACATGACCCTCAGGAAAAGGAATACTGGGGTAAAAAAACAGACATTATAATGTTTAGGATTATACCTAATAATCCTGCACAATGGAAGGGAGTCCCCGTCACCTGTAAAGTGCTTTCAGTGGAGTGTCCAGAAAAGTACTATATAAGAGTAAGCAATTATTATTATTATTATTATTATTATTATTATTATTATTATTATTATTATTATTATTTTGGAGGAAAGCGTTATGAATGTCTCTACATTTGAGCAATAAGAAATAATTGTTTCTTAGTATTGTAAGACTACGTTTTTCTGAAATAAAAATCTAAAGCAGATGCTAACTTTTGCTTTGTTTGTTACCCATATGACTAAGTGACTAACTACTGACTTCCCAGTACTGTCTACAGCAGTAGATACAGGGTGTTTTTGAAGGTACTTACTGTCTTGGCGATTTCTGAAGTGTTGGTATTTATGAAGTTTTGAGCCTCATCAACCTGTACCAGGACATTATTGACCACTCCCTGACAGAAAAAAAAAGGAAACAAAGGTCCAGACTACTGCACAAGACTGGAGGACATTTCTTCATGTTTGTTCAGTTGTCAAACCATCATCACAACTCTGTGCTTAAAGAAATAGTGGAGCATTATTTTAGGACTCTGGGGAGCATGTGCTTACCTGTGTTTACCTCTGTCTACACTTCTAAAGCAAGAGAAGCCTTAGAGATAATTAGTAATACGTATGTCAAGACTTAAGGGCACAAATAATGAAGACAGTTTCTCTAAAAGATGATTAAGAGGAAATTTCATTAAGAGAAATTATAATGGGAATAAATTGACCATGGAGTTTGTTTCAGATGATGTTCAGTAATAGAGCCTTGATATGTCAATGGATACTAGTTGTCAAATTGTTACCATGACTAGAATAGATATCACATGAAATTGGATATATTCCCTCTACATAAAACAAAATTGAAATGGAAGATAATTTAATGTTTTCAGAGCTGGCCTACACTCTTTTTTGTTCATATTTTAGAAGTGCAAAAATGATCATACTACCATACAAACCTCTTAAGCAATGTTTTTTTCTCTTAAACATGTGTTTCAAACTGTTAACTATCTCATTACTATTCCCTATTGGTATTCCACCTTTTGGAAGTTTGTAAAATTGCTTTCATAGCTTTTGACTCCTTCCTCTCCAATATTTCCACCAATCTAGTAGGACTCCACATGCGTTAGGCCTCTACCAGTTTCAAGAAAGGTTTGTATGGGGTGTGCAAGGTTATTAAATATTTGCAGTCTAATTCCATCCTATTCTATGTGCAGAGTCTTCAGGTCAGTTTGTGATGAGGACAACAGGTCCTCCCTTTCTCAACAGGATTGACATGTGGAAAGTGTTCCAGCCAGGGAAGGTGATGGGAGTCAGTTTCAGACTCCTCAAGTTGAATTTTAAGGCATGAGAAAGGCCTGTTGTTAGTTAATTGGTCCAAGGATCCAAACATTTCATCCAACCAAAGCAAGAACTTCAGCAACATTACTGGATTGCTTGTTCCTAAAGTTCCTAAAATTGTAGTCAGCGAGTGTATATTGAGAATACATATTTCACTCATATCATGATTAGAAGTATTTTAGAATGGCTGCAAATAAATGTATGTCTCCAATTAATACATTAAAAAATAATATACATAATACATAATAAAATATTCAGAATTTATCACATTAAAACAGCTACCCATCATCCTGATGAAACTGATAACGTGATGAATAGTTTCTCAGGTCAGCATGAAAAAAACTACATAAAAAAGTGTGTGAGTGTGCCTGATTATATGGGACGTGTGAAAGTCCAGTCTCATGCAGTTATTCTTCTAGTCCTCACAGTCCATAGGCTCTTCTGGTTTTCATTCCAACCAGGCTTTTAATCTCTGAAGTTTATTATTATTTTAAACTATTCAGACCTATAGCTGAACACAAAAAACAAGATATTGTCAAGATACTTTTTGACAACAGCATTCTGTTTAGTCTGTCTTTTTACTTTTTAATGTACTTCTGCTCTCCTCCATCTATAATTTAATAATAATTCCTTGTATTTATAGATCATTTTTCATCACAACTCCTCTTACACATAGGATGAGACTCACTTCGTCTTCCACTGAAATGCAGCCCCACTGCACAGCAGATCAGGGGGAGGAGTGATAAACTGCTTCACCAGCTCAATTAAAGGGAAGCTTCAGGAAGGCGAGATCATGGAAACCCAGAGTGGAATTTAGGACCCTGGGGCGGATAACCACACTCTTTCTTGGGTCTTCCATGTCAAGTTTAACATTACTTAGAGTTTAATACGGTTTAACATCTCACAGGGACAATACTGGAATATTGGTTTGCAAAATCCAGATCAGTGGAAAGAACATCCCCTGCTGGTCTACTAACAGTATTTGAGCAGTAAACTGGACTTCTTGGATTTCTGCCAAAATAACTAAATGAGTTGTCGATAACGTCTACAAAGACACAGGCTGCAATTACACTGTATCAGGCAATTTTCATAATAAACATTCATTGGGCATAGAGTCAATCGCTTACTGTAGATTCCAGATGTCTGAAAAGACTGTTGAAACAGCCCATATAAACTAAGAATCCATTTCTAATTTGAGATTACCTTGTTAGAAGCCGAAACTGGCTGTAAAATGTTTTCCCAAACAGTTAAAAGAAATGATAAGCTTTATTAATTTGAAGGTCAGGTCAAACACAAGTCAAAAGACACACCAGTTCACGTAGACCAGGACTGAGACTCTCTGCTCTAGTGTATAATAGTAGGGAGAAATCACAGTGAATGTAAAATCTGAGGAAAAGTATGGCCAAAAGAGAGCTTTTCTGTGTAATGTTTTACTTTATACTTCATAAAAGAAATTGATGCATGGACTCTGGAAAAATGTACCAGGCATGGAAGTATATGTCTGGTCTATGTCAACTTCAACAAAAATGTGCTGAAAGATGTGCTGATTTTGGAGTAAGAGTCTCATAAGAGCCATTCAGCCCATCATGCTTATTGAGTCTTTTTCAGATAAATAAGCAGTATAAGTCAATGAACACTTCAAAGGACCATTTTCAGTGGAAACATCACTGCTTTGTTCTCTGTATTTGAGTGTGTGTATTTTCATATCCTCCAAAGTGATTTGCAGTTTCAGAATGCTAGATATAAATTGCTAGCAATATCTGCATGGACCCAGCCTTTCTTTACCATGTGAAAACCTGTCTGCAATGGCCTGAAACAGCTGTGACATCAGCGAGGGTTTCATTAGATCATGCATGCTTCACACACTTTTACAGAACTGGAGACCAGGACTTACGGGAATCTGTGAAGTGGTGACGCTTAACTGCTGGACAGTGTAGTTCAGATCTGACTGAAAAATAAAGAAACTGGTTCAGACAGTGTTCTGGTATTAAACCAGATAGTTCTAGTACTTATTCAGTACTTATACAGCTTATTCTGGTATTTATACAGCACTGATTTATGTTCAATCAACTAAGATATCCCCCACTGCGTTCATACCATTGTTTATTGCCAACATCTAGGTATCAATCTCAATAGGATTCAATCACAATCACAATCACAATCACAATCTCAATAGGATTGAGATCTGGAAAGTGTTCAAGCTAGGGAAGGTGATGGAAGTCTCCAGTTGTCACATAGCTCACTGGCGATGTCAGTCTGGCTATATTTTTGGAAAGATTTGAGAAAGTGCTCAATATTATAAGGCAGGGCTCTGTCTCTGAATGAATCACAAGGCCACGTGAGCCCAAGGGAAAAGGCTCACTTCCACGCGTATTTCCACACATGCTCAGGGCTTGGGTATTGTGCTGCAGCCCCTGACGAAGTAGTAGCAGTAGCCAGCCAAGTCATTTTCAATTCTCTTCTTACCAGCACTTCTTGTGTTCTCTCATAAAAACATGGAAGTAAGTGAGAAAACTGTATTGTAGTTATTAATATTAATTCATCACACTTATATAGTGGTGTTCTGGACACTCCACTCAAAGCGTTTTACAGGTAATGGTGACTCCCCTCCACCACCAATGTGCAGCCCCACGTGGATGATGCGACAGCAGCTGTAGTGCACCAGTACACTCACCACACATCAGCTATTAGTGGGGAGGAGAACAGAGTCATGAAGCCAATTCATAGAAGGGGATTATTAGGAGGACATTATTGGTAAAGGTCAATGGAAAATCTGGCCAGGATGCCGGGTTTACACCCCTACTCTTTCCGAGAAACTCCCTGGGATTTTTAATGACCACAGAGAGTCAGGACCTCGGTTTTATGTGTCATCCAAAGGATGGTGCCTTTTTTTCAGTTTAGTGTCCCTATCACTTTACAGGGGCATTAGGACACACACACACCACAATGCAAGTGCCCCCCCTCTAACACCTCTTCCAGCAGCAACCTTAGTCTTTCCCAGGACGTCTCTCATCCAGGTACTGACCAGGCTCACACCTGGGTTGTCACCTGTGAGTTGCAGAGCGATATAGCTGCTGATTGTATCACCCTGCACGTTATTGAGCTACCTATAGTAATTACATCACTGTTGTCTCAATTGTTTTCAAGTCTTTGGTTGTTTTCACAAAAAACGTGGCGTGCGATTCCTGCTTCTGCTTTAACAACATGCAGAAGTTCCAAACCCGACAGCATCAGTGCTATCAGAGCGAAACGTTGCAGACCGGAGTAGAAAGGAGCACTGCAGACATCCTGCATATGTGGGTCTGCACTCCACACAGGCACCTCAGCTTATTTACAAGCGATGTTTTGCCCCATGCAAAAGAGACCCAGGAAGGGAAACTGAGCTCTACGTAATGACAACGCATGTAAAAGCTGTGCCGCACAAGTCCAAAGCCATGTGTTTGCAGCTGAGGGACCCACCAGTTCCAGCATGATCTGGATCAGTGTCCAAGCACTCAGCCTCCGCAGTGCGGCTGCCTCTGAGAGAAGCTCATTCTTCACTCCTGGATTGGCCTGAGACAGAACAGTGAACAGTAAACCACTTCCCATAAGATCAAATACAATACAATTTACTTCCCCAGTTTAACAATGCCTCTTGTTATATAATAATACTGCAATATGTAGCTGAACACATTTTGACAATGTGTCTGCTGTGGTTCTGGAAAGCATAGCAGGACTTGTATTAGTGTGAACCTCTTATGGTGATGCAATCTTTAGGAGCTTAATAAGCTTTTCAAACCCACTCGATCATATGATCACGTTGATTTTTTTGTTTCATTTTTGAGGAGCACAAACAGGTTACTGACTGTAAAAAGAGATAATTTAACATTTTCATTTAATGTTGGTAAATTCACAACTCTAAATAATCTACTGTAAATATTTTTACAGGGAGATTTAATGTGGAAAACAAGCCAAAACATGTGAGATTTTCCTTTTGTGGAGGGTCAATGTTTTTATTTGGAACCAAAGAATCACAAGGAGGCAGCAGAGAAGCACAGTAAATGGAGACTAAGACATAGGAATTTGTATGTGGTTTAAGCCAACCACCATTCAGCCGATAAACTGCACAAAAATAAAATAGTAATCATTAATTTTGAAAAACTACTATGTGGATAAAAAAAATATGTTGTTTTTTTAATGGGCACATTGGATAACGCAGAGGATTGGAATAGTAATTGTTGATAAAACAGAATTTTTCCAAATAGCTTCTGTAAAATAAAGTAACATGATTTATTACAACATAAGTACAGTTAGTGTGGTATGGTGGCGCAGTGGTTAGCATTACTCCTTGCATTGCTGGAGCCCTGGGTTCAACTCCTGACCAGCGGTGCTATCTGTGTGGAGTTTGTGTGTTCACATGGTTTTGCACTGGGTGCTCTGGTTTCCAACAGTCCGAAGATATACTGGTAGGTTACTTGGCTTCTGGAACAAACTGGCCCCGGTGTGAGTGTGCGCGGGTCTGTGTCAGCCTGCCCTGGGATGGACTGGCGTCCCATCCAGGGTGTACCCTGCCATGCGCCCAGTGCTTGCCGAGGTGGTATCTGGCTTGCCCTCTATATTCAATAAGACGGTTAGAAAATACATGGATGGAGAAACTAGAGTTGAAAAAGACCTGTCATAAATTTGTGAGCACAAACATAAATAAGCAGTCTTATCACAGTGCTGCTGACAGAATCCAGCAAGCTTCTAATTTCAGGGGATAAGAAAAACAGGGAACCTACCATTGTGTTGGCTAGGCTGTCCAAATCTTGTGCCGTAGAGTTCAGATCCTCAATGGAGAAGTAATTAATCTGAAACAAAAGAATTCCGATCAGATGTGTTTTTTTTATGTTTTAATTCTTCTAAACTGTAGCCGAGTTATTATTAGTAGCAGAACATTGCTGAAATATCTGTAGGCTGTGCTGAATGAAAATGCATTTGCACACTACCCCCTCATTGTCGTGAAAAGGGATGGCCCACAGATTCCTGGGGAATCTGGCCTTCTCGGTGCTCAGCTCCCACCTCCAGTAGGAGTATCCTGTTTTCTCTGTCACAGGGCTGGTTACTCAAACATTTTGGGCTGAAAACCAATGCTAAAAACTCCTTGACATGGAAGAAAATGTTCCGGAATGAAAGCTTTTCCCCGTGGGTCAGAACCACTGTCTTTTGCACAGCAGAGCGACTCTGCCACACAGAATGAAAAATAACACATCTGCTTGTGCACCAAACAAAGTCTGCTCCTCACAGCCCACAGAAAACAGCACCAGCGAAGCCTGACCTGCTGTGTAAGGTTGGTGAGGTTGATGGCCTTTGACATATTGGAAAACTCCTCCAGCTGCCTGCGGGAGTCCGAGCCCAGCAGGGTGATCTGTGGAGGAGTGAAGCTGGTCTTTCCAAAGCTTTCCTCAATTTCTGCACGGTACTGATGGGGAAGAAAAGACACATGGGATATGCCTGAGTGGACTGAATACAGTACAGCAGTGAAAAACATTTATGGTGGGTAGCTGCGTCAGCATGCATAAGCTGCAAAGGAACAAGTAATAGGTTTATTCCATGCTGAAAAGAGAAGAAGGAAAACACAATGTACACACCTGAAGAAGGCTCCACGGCCAAAACATTGTGTTTTCTTTCTTCTCTTTTCAGCATGGAATAAACTACTTGTTCCTGTAAAACATTTGTATCCTACCCAGGAAGGAGCAATAAATGTCTACAGTATACCAAAGGTTTTGGGAAAATATCACCTGAAATTGAAACTGCATCATTTTCAAGATTCTAGCAGTAAGATTCTTTCTACATTTTATGGCAGTTGAAGTGCACAATATAACACAACAAAATGGATTAGGGGTGGTACTTGGTCCAAAAAGTTTGAGAACCACTGAGCTAGATTGACTGGGTTTACAAATACTCTACAATGAATAAAATCTCATGACTCCCTAATGATAAAATATTAATTATGACCCTCACGTTTCTGTTTTCTTTCAGTTTGCTTTGGGTAAACGTCAGAGGAAAAGTGATATTTTGTTGAATGCTTAGACTCAGAATTTAGGCTCTTGTTCATAATCTTTCTTGTAGTTGCAATGTTGTCTGTGTACGAACTCATGTAAAAGACACTTGGACTACAAACAGGAAACTGAGAGCATTACGTGAAGATGATCACTATTTCAATATTAGGCAGAAATTAATGACACTTACCTTGGAGATGTTCAGAAGGTCCAGATTGATTACCTGTTTCAGGTGTAGTGTGGTCCACAGGGGCATGTTGTTCTTACAGTCCCTAGAAACAGAATATGTGCCCTCAAATACTATAATTTGAATAACAATATCATTTCATGCAGAAAGCATGAAACGTTGTCTGATTTTAAAGAGATGTTCATAGGAAGACTATAGTTTGGGAAAAATATTTGCAGAAAGATCTGTAAATCTGTAAGAAATATATTTAATTTCACTGCATGGTTAAAAGGACCAGTTGAAATAACTGCATATATTCCCAACAACCGACAACTTTTTACCTCCCAAAAATTGTGGGATTGGTTTGTTAATCTGAGTCATACAGGTACCACCAGATACCAGCATGCCGAGATTGAGAACCTCTGATCTAGAGAAGCAGCTCTGGATAACAGAGGGTTATATTCAACACCCTCTATATGACCCAGTAGAGCTCATCCACACACACATATGCACAAGCACACCCTCACACACACACGCTCATTCTTCTCGTACAACAGAAAGCACTCAAGCTGTCTTACTTGTACACCTGTGATATATTCAGGTTGGTCTTCAGTTGTAGTGCTTCTGACAGGTTGAATCCTGGGATCAGGTTAGGTGTGTCGATTACCTGTAAGTGAATATATAGCCACCTAGTAGTTAAGAGGTGTATTTTAATTCACAGCAGTTTCTTCACCTAAAATGTCTTGTCCAGAGACAAGAGCACTATCCTCTGGGCCAAGAACACTTGTTGGCACCTACCTAGTGTGCCTTAAACGCCTCACATCCAAGTCTTTGGGAGCTCAGCTTTGCTTAGCTTCCAGTATCTATCAAGCTTAGGCTGCAAGCTGAACTAAACTGTTCCTTTATAACAAGTGGGTATGTGAACATCTCGCATACATTGTTCTTGTGACTCCAGTGCACTGACTTCTCTGTCCTGTAGAAGTTTACACCTGGAGCAGGTTGTATCCTGAAGGCTGCTAAAGGCATGTGCAGATGCTAGAGAAAGGCCAGCTGGGGGCGCTCTCATCACGTCATTCCTTCATCCTCAGTGCATTGCTCTCATAAATTAGAATTAATTTATGAGCGTGTGAACAATGATAAACATGTATATTCCACAAAATAACATACTATACATGAATACCACAATCACGAAAGCGTGTTATTGGCAGAAACGCTTTGCAGAAGCTTTGCAGAAGCCATGGCTCTGTCAGAGTCGAGCGGCAGAGCTGGGGAGCCCTGCTAATGAAGCACGAGATGAGTTTCACAGCTCGCCCCCGCCAGCCCTGTCCCATTACCTGGAGAAGCTCCTGGCTCTGCCAAGGCTTACACACCAGCGTGTAGACGTTGCCTCCCAGCAGGAAAAGGATGAGAACCAGCAGCATGAACAGCCAGGAGAAGAGGAAACTGAATCCAACACCACTGCAGGGGGCGAGACAGCAGCACTATCAACATCACTGGTAGAGCCGCTTCTCAGAGAGGGCTCACTAGGAGGAGATAAGGATGACTGGACAAAGGGAACTACCCAGATTGTTCTGTGCAATTGGTTAGATGTAGCCATTTCACATGAAATTGGGTGAAAATTACTATTTTAATCACAAACGTTTCTTGCTGGTACGACCATCTCAATTCTGCCAAAAATACCCTTGAAGAATTTCTACCATCTGGAGCTGACAGATTTTGTTTGCTTTAAAAGGAAGAAGTGTTTCTCTAAGTAATCATCATTATTCATTACAAGCAACATTCTATTTAGTACAGAACCACAGTTAAGGTTTGATCAATTGGTCACCAGCACCAACACTGAGTCAAAGAGCTCTGGAGCTCTCAGCGCAGTGAGCAATTGCAGATATTGCTAAAATGCTTAAAAATCTAAAATCTTAGAAATTAACCTAAGAGCTGTCTGTTTATGACAGGGGCAGTCACTCCTCGTTTTTCTACAGAATAACTGCCAGTCATGTAAAGACACACTGTAAAGATTACATTTAAAGTGACTTTAAATATTGGAGGATCCAGACCCTGGTGTATTAACCTATTCATGCACTTCTCACTTTGTTAGTTGAATTTGAATAGTTTTTGTTGGGTAATGTAAAAAGTGAAGCTCTTTACGAGAGCTTTCACTCTGTGAGCTTTAACCGTTTCTCAGTGCAAGGGCACACTTCTCCAATTTAATAGGGAACCCTGTAGGGTAGGGTGTGTCTTTTTCTTTCTCCCCTCAGTTACCCAGAGATGGATGGCCAGCTCTTTAATAAGAGATAAGATCACTTTATATATATATACATTTTATATATATATGATTTATATCATATACAATTTCTTGCATTAGGAATTTGTCTTTTTCGCATACCCCAGCTTGCTCCCCATGAGACACACAGACACACACAGAAGCTTGAGGTCAGAGCACAACAGCCTTTGTACAACGCTCCTGGAGAAGTTGGGGTTAAGGGCCTTGCTCAGGAGCCCAATGGCAACGTTCCAGTAACAGGTGCAGATCCTTAGCCCCAGAGCCACTGCTCTGCCCTTTGCTCTGCTCTGCTCCTAGGACAGCAAAGTGCAAAGTGGTACCTCCGTGACATGAGACCAAAAACCAATTCTTCTGGCTGTGAAAATGGACTGTTTTAAAGGATTCACCTGTGTTGTTGAACTGCTCTTTGGAAACAAAGTCAATTTTCTCAAACAGGGACTTGTTGCTATATTGTCTGAATGTTCTGCTTAGATCTGACCAGTCATTTGGTGCATTTTTTTTAAAAAAGAAACAAGAAGATTGCCAACTGGAGCTTGATTAGATTATTTGTGTCAAGCGCCAGGACCGCTTGGCTGGAAGGGGTCAGTGACACTGACGCTCTGTCCTCACTGTCCTGCGGTTGTGCCCACTACTCACATCATGAAGAAGATGCCCCCACAGTTGGCTGTCCCTGAGCGTTTGGTGGGGTCGACCCCGGGACGAAGCCCTGCCGGGCCAAGCAGGAGACCCAGGATGTTACACACCACCACCAACAGAACCACACAGCACAGAACCAGGCCCACAATCCACCTGTGGAGCCGGGGAAGAAAGCATTATCCCATCATACCACTCTGTCACTAATATACAAATGTCATAGAGAGCAAATACAGCTAAAATGGATACAGTCATACAGACAGAGAAACAGTAATGGGCATCCCGGGTGGTTCAGTCAATAAAAGACACTTCTTTGAAGTTAAGAGTCCTGTAGTCAACAGATCTCCAGTCTAGGTTAACTCATTAGCCAACTCTAAAAAAGACTCCTTAAGCAGTGCCGCACAATTTACTGAGTGTCGCTGGCACTGGATGGACTTGAATCACTACGGGTATCCTCAGCTTGTGTGAGCTATAAGATGTCAGAGGAATCTGTTATCCAGAGGTACTGCAATTAGAAATGGCCCATGTGGATTCCTGAGGAATATGTCTTATGCAAGTACAATATCTGCGGGAATGAGGCAAGATGATTAACTGCTGGCAATTCCAAACTGAGAGGGTATAATAAGTAACTAAGAACAAATTTTGTATCGTTCTATATTACATATTATTATGGCTTTAAGGATTGTAGCTGTGAACCGAGCCAATTAAAAATTGGTAACAGTAAAACAGGGAGCATAAAGATGAAAAATAGGCAATTCTAACTTATTTAAAGAAAAATCTACCTGTATTTGTCTGCCTTGTAAACAGTTGGAAAGTAGGTGTTAGCTTTATTCTTCACTGACTGCAGGTTTGTAGAAATTTGAACCAGTTGATTCAGGTTCTCTAAAGAGACCTGTGAAACTTGATTTTCAACATCTTGGAGCTGTTTCTGTACATCTAGAATGGACACAACACAGAAATTAGTATTGCAGTTAGCATCCTGATGTTGTTTTTCTTATCCAATGTATACTTAAAGGGCATTAAGAAATATGAAAGAGGTAAAGCTGCTTGAAAAGCAGCAAGTGAAATAATTGTCAGCAAGTCATGGTATTTAACTACATAAAACATTTTGGTCATATAAAGCAATCTAAATCTGCTAAAACACAGTGAATTTGTCACAAAGCTCTAATTAAGTCAAAATCATGCATTAAAGCTATGTGATCTCCAAGGCAAGGCAGTGTCAATCCATGGTGTGCACACAGTGAAATCAAAGTAAAACTGAGTTGCTATGGTTATCCTTCAAATCCTTGGGTAATCCCAAGACACTCTGAATTAAGTTCAGCAATCTTGACACAGAACTAGTATCAACATCCAGTACACAACATCTTGGCATATTTGCCTGCTGTATCATTCAGGTGCAGGACCTGATGACCAGACATTGAACTGTTATTTACCATTGTCACGGGCGTCTAGTGAGTGAGACAGGCAATCCCACTGTGCTGGTTTATACTGTACCTGTGTTTAGACAGCAGGGCCCAGTCATATATTCTCTCCTGACTAGGTCATCTTAAAGCACTTGGTACTAGAGCCGAAAAGATTTCTGAATAGAAATGAAAAGACAGCTACAGCTCAGAAGCAAGATCCTCCAGACACACTCACCTCTCACTACATTCCTGCTCTCGTTGGCCACTCTCTGGGGAATACTGCCCAGGAACTGCTGTGCCTGCGAGCGGAGAGTACACAGTCAAGTCCACTGAGTCCCAAGCCCACCACCAGAAGAACCGTCCCTCGTCTCCGAGACGGAGAGTCAGAAAGCCTCCCCAAGTCAGAGAGAGAGCGCCGCTCTTCCCCCAGGAAATAACGCCCATGCCTCCGAGGCTCCATCACAGAGGGAGACGCAGGACTCTTCATCACCGTGGGCTATACGTCGCAATTCCAACTGGGAGAAGAATGGCTGAAGAGAGCTGAAGAATCTACCTGTATCGAAAATTTGAATTACAGCAAAGAGCTCATCTACGTTTTGACTGAATTATCTTCATTTTCCAGTTTAGAAAAACCTTGAACTACCACGAGAATGGTAAAAAAGGTGCTGCGAATAAACAGATAAAGATAAAAATGACACGTTTGTGAAAAATCTCAGATGGCTGGGAGCAGTCGCCTAGTATGAACCTATCAGTGCAGATGTGACTCTTGAAAACTGGAGACACAGAAACTCCCAAACAGCACCTTTAGACAGATTTTTAGCTGCCTGATACCACTTAGAAAGCAGGGAAGTATTACTTAAACATTTAGTAATTGTAATTGCATGATTCCTTGACTATATATTCAATTTTTGAATTTATATAAAATTTTAAACTGCTTCAAGCCAAGGGCAGCTGCTATTAAAGAGCATGCCCATGATAAGCTCTGTAAGGAAAACCCCACTGTCCCTCTTCCAGCTGTGGCTAGAACTCACCTTCTCTATTGTGGAGCTCAGATCAGCCTCAGCAGCCCTCTTTAAGGCAGACTGCAGCTCATTCAGCTGAGACGTCTGTTAAAACACACAGGAACATCAGTCTGCTTGATTGCTGACCACACAACTCATTTTTTATTACCCCGAGTGACCAAGAGGTCAGGTGTTCAGTTTCATGTCTCAACAGTAGGGTGGCACCTACAATAGCACTGTGACCCCTGCCACCACACTGGGGCATTAACTGGAAATTTCAGGAAAGAGCGCCCCCTACTGGTCGACTAACATTGCTTACTGCAGCCACCTACAGTAGTCTTCTCTCACTCCAGTCCTCACCAGGCCCAGCCCAGCCAACATCTGGTGAGATCAGGCTAGCCAGTAAACCAGAACAGTTTTCTCTTCAACCTCTCTCATACAAATAAAAGAAAACACACAAACTTCCAAACATGACAGTTTTCTCTTTTCTGTGAACTAAACAGTTCTATACAAATATAATACCAGTGTGGCTCTGTTACTATTTTTATGTGCTTCCATAGAGAGATGTGATATAACAAGGCCTGATTAAACAAGATCAGGTCAGCTTATGTCCATCTCCTTTAAAAGTGGCAGCGTTGGTGTGAGTTGTACTATTTTACTCAAGTAACAAATAAGTGGTGTTCCACGTTTTCAAACAGCTGTTAACGTCACTTTGAATGCTGCGATTCACTACGTACTCTCATATATCCTGTCGTACATTTCTGTATTATTATTACTACTAATGGAATGACTGTTTCCATTTCTCTGCAGCACATGAGTGTAGGTATTGGTCTAGGTAGGACAGGACGGCACTTTACCCCACTGAAGTTCATCTGAATGTTGATCTTTTCCACAGTGGACTCCAACCTGCTGCAGTTGAGACACTCTTTCTTCTGCAGGGTTGTCCGGATGCGTGAGGCCAGATCGGTCAGGTTCGCCTGCAGCTCCTCCTGCCTCTTCTGGAGGTACGGCAGCGTGGCGTTCAGGTGTGCGACAGTGCCCCTGGTATCGTTCACCTCTGGAGGACAGGAAAGCATGCTGACATCCGTGCATCAAAGGACACATGCGTGTGCTTCCTTTGGAGGAAGTGACACAAGTATCACAGATAAATGGCAGCCTTGGCTGTATTGTGTTACTTTTTGTGAGTTCAGGTACCTTGGGATAAATTGAGGACAGAATGCAGCACTGGGATCAAGCGACCCTCCACGGCCCTCTGAATGCTCCTCCCCAGCAAGGGCCCAATGTCTAGGGTGAGAGAGGAGGGAAACGGGGGTAAGGCACTGTGCTGCAGCCAAAAACACACAGGAGCACCGGATGATAAATAATCAAGTGTCAGATAAAGAACAACTGAAAATAAATATAATTTGCATTATGACTGACAGCCAAAGATGAAACACGCAGGCGTTTAAACAATTGCCTGTAATCTGAATAATAATGATACTATTATTAATTATAATTAAGAGTTATACTATTATTAGTATAATAGTATAATTAGTATAATAGCAATGTTGTGAATAAAATATGAAACAGAAGTGGCCTGAGATACACAGTAAATGAGCAAGCACAGGGAGAGAAAGTTGCAGAGAACAAACAATGTCACAATGAAAGAACAATCTCACAAAAAGAAAAGAGCATTAAAGAGCGAAAACAGAGTGAGAAAATAGTGTCACAGGGAGAGACCCATGTCACGGTGTGACAACACAATCACAGTGATAGTGTAGAGCCAGTGAGACCGGTTGTGTCGTTATTTTAGATGTCACCAAGGACCATGAGGAAGCACTGCAAGAGTGACCCAAAGACAGGGTGGGATCTCTAAGAGGTAGAGGGAGGAACAGCAGATCTGTCACTCACCAACCAGGCTGTTGTTGACTTTATTCAAGGGCACAGAGCTGTCATTCACCACTGTGGAGACTTGCTGCAAAGAAAAATATACTCACAAGGTTTAGTCTCTCAAACACCTGTTAATATATCCAATATAAAGAGTAGTTCTTTTAATTAAGTAGCTGAATTAGCACCATTCTAACATGATGGGACCAGGGAGGAAGTACCATTTCTTCTCTCAGAAATATTGCTCTTCCATATGCACCTTTTACGACACAAACATTTACATTGTTTGAACAGTTCAACCTTTTGTTTTACCAAAAAAGGCTTGTTACATAAAACGAAGGAAGAAAATGAGATTTGTTTTTTATCTAGGGATGTAGCAATACCCCTGCAGTGTTAATGTTTCATGGCCTCCCTTACTGTCATTTCTGGACACTGTATTTGTCTACTGAAGTGCATTTGCTACATTCGCAAGTCCAAAACAATGTAGCCAACTGCAAAGTCACACCTAACTGTCACTTCTCAAGTTCTAGTGCCATTCTGTTGAGTAAAAGTAAGTAAAAGTGAGTCACTACTCAGTGAAAGTGGAGATTACACTTAATCTTACAGCAGGTTAGCCATGCTAGTTTTTGGAATATTTCCCCCAGTCGTACCTCAGGGACACTGTTCAGAAAGGTCTCCAGGTTGTCCAAGGTATTGTTGAAGAACCACAGACTGTTATTGACACTCACTGTAAACCTGTCATTGCTGAAGAACATGCAGGTGTTCCCAGCCCTAGAAGAAAACACAAGGAGACTGGACTCATGTTTTGAGAAACATCAAGCAGGCTTCTGGGATTATCACAAGATAAGGATTTATGACTCCTTACTTTCTTTATTGTCCCAGATGGAACACTAAAGTCCAATAATGTCCCAGATGGGAAATTTGCTTTGCAGGCAGGTAAAATTTATAACACAACAAATAATACATTTAACACAACATGAATCCATTAATAAATGTTTAAGTCATTCCACAAATGCTCAATTGGATTGAGGTCTGGGCTTTGACTTGGGCCACTCCAGGACATTAACCTTTTTGATTTAAAGCTACTCCAGTGTGGCTTTTGCTGTATGTTACGAGTCATTGTCCTGTTGGAAGATGAATCGTCTTCCAAGTCCCAGTGCTCTTGCGGATTGCAGCACGTTTTCCTCCATGATTTTTCTGTACTTAGCTCCATCCATTTTCCCTTCTATCCTTATGAAATTACCAGTCCCTTAGACGCATTCCCAAAGCATTATGCTGCCACCACCATGCTTCACTGTGGGGACGGTGTTCTCAGTGTGATGTGTTAGGTTTGCACCAAACATAAAGTTTAATTTCGGTCTCATCAGACCATAGAATCTTCCTCCAAATTGTTGAGTCTCTCACATGCCTTTGGGCAAACTCCAGCTGAGATGTGATATGATTTTTTTTTCAACAAAGGCTTTCTTCTTGCCACCCCTCCGTGCAATACAAGCAGGATTTATGAGGTGTGCGTGTTATTGTTGTCTCATGCACAGTTTCTCCCACCTCTGTCATGGAGGATTGTAACTCCTTTAGAGTTGCTGTAGGCCTCTTGGTGGCCTCTCTTACTATGGCTCTTCTTGCCCGAACACTCAGTTTTGGAGGACAGCCAGTTCTGGGCAGATTCACAGTCGTACTTTCTCGCCTTTTTAATGATGGACTTTACTGTGCTTTGAGGTATATTCAGAGCCTTGGAAATGTTTTTATATCCACGCCCTGACTGGTATTTTTCAACAATCTCGTCTCGGATCTGCTTGGAATGTTCCTTGGTCTTCATGGTGTAGTGTTTCCTTGGAAATGCACTGAGTGGGGAAGCTCCCAGACACAGATGAATTCATTCTGAAATCATGTGAAACTCCTCAACTGCACACAGGTGGACTCCAGTCAAGTAATTCTGTGACTTGGAGAAGAGAGTTGGTTACCTCAGAGGTAATTTAGGTGTGTCAAAGCAAGGGGGTGATTATTTTCTGTTTTTTATTTTTAATTAATTTAATAAAATGTTTGGATTTTTTGTTACTTTGACCTTATAGAGTACTTTGCGTTGATGAGTGGCAAATATTCTTAGTTAAATACATCATAGTTCCATGCTGTAACACAATAAAATGTGAAAAAGTCCAAGGGGTGTAGATTTTCTATAGGCTCTGCTAGCTGTAGTGCAATGATAACTTGGCTACCTTCAATATCCTTCATCGGCCTGTTTTTATTGTGTGTGTTCAGGTTACCAAACCAGGCTAACCAGATTCAATAACAGCCGTATAGAATGAAATCATCTCCTTACCACACACATTAAAATAATTTTCTCAAGAAGAACGATCGCTGCTGGCTCTTCTTAGACTTGGCAATTTTCCTCAAAGTATAGGTTGTAATCAACAACAATGCCAGGATATTTGTAATGTAATGTGATGTACGAGCCAATAAGTACAGGTTGTGCAGCAGACATTGCAGCAGAAATGTTCCAACGTGATCTGCATGCAGAGTTAACAGGTAGTATTTGTCTTGAAGTTGAGAGCGATATTTCTATTGGATAAAAAGAAATAGATCTACAAGCCTGCTTGTTAACAATGTAACAATTTTCTCAAATAACCTCGTTACTAAGGTGGTCAGTGCCTCCGATATGAAATCAGTTAATGTCTCGGGGGGAACTGAATTGGGCAACTGGTGCAATTAACATTTGTTTCCAAAGTTTGGGCATTTTCTACAGACTCTGAGATAGTATAAAAATACAGTGACATACAGTGCTAATCTGTTCAGAACATGACCTCAGGACCTGACCGATGATGTTATTTTCCTGACCTTTGTTATCTTGAATATTTTTGAAACATACTGTGTATCAAATTCAACCTTGGTGGAAGTGAGTAGCTTCTCCCTAAGCTTCCTAATTTACCCACTGATGCCTTGTTTGTCAAACCTCAGGTAAACTGTTCAGTTTATCAGCCCGCTCTTTGCTAGTGCAAGAAAGATAAAGGCTCTGGACAGGGCATATTTTCCTTCCAGCTACCTGTCGGAGAGATCAGAGCTATTTTATACTCACAGTATGACGGCCGTTATCACCACTGTTGCCCCATAAAGCCCCCGGCGCTGATAGTTTATGCTCTTGTCCTGTTTTTGGTACATCCTGCCACCACAGTTTCCACAGCAACGGCAGGAGGCGAAGCAAAATCCGACGAGGGGCACGAAGAGGATATAGAGGATCCCGATCGCTATGCACACCAGGAAGCCGGTTTCGTACTTGAGCACCTGGAGCACAAACACCAGCAGTTCTCACAGCCGGCAATCAGCACTCGGACTCAGTGGTGCCCCCTGCAGCTTCACCATGGACTGACACTTCATTGCAGCAGGTGGTCTAATGCCAAAATTGTAGCTAAACGGACAATCCTGATGGATATGTGGTTTCTAGGACAAAAAGTCTTGGCTTTTATGGATGTGACAATGTGTCAGTTAGGCTCCTCATTCTGGTAAATGTGAGAGATTTTATAAATGTAGCGTAGATATATACTTAATATCGGCTGCTCATGTATAATTTACCCAGTTTTGTTGTGATTTTTTTCATGATTCTCGTCATTCTAACTTGAAAATTGTTAAAGGACAAGCATTATTTCTTTTTGCCTAGAATGTATTAATTAAGCTTTATTAATAAACAAAGTTGTTATAATAGTAGAAAACACCAGTGAAGGCTTCAAGTAAGTGGATGATTTGAAACCAGATAAATATGTAATTCCTACTTGAAGCAGGATAAGTATATCAAAAGTAGTGAACCCAGCTTAAACATCTCTAATAGACTGTTTATTCGATAGACAAATTAACATGAACATGAAAGAAAATATACCAGCATATCACTGGAAATGTTTTTTGATTTTTTTAAGGTAGCTGTCACTCAAAAGAACTTAACACTCAAAAGCAAACAGATGTCTAGACACCAACTGCCACACTTCCCTGAACAAAAGGTATGAAAATTGCCAAATTGTTCCAGAATCCCCCTCTTGTAACAGTGATACTTTGCAGCAGAGGTGTGTCAACCGTCCTGCTGGTTTTACAGACAAAAGGTTATTAGAAACTCAGGTATCACACCACCACAAACACACACATGAAAATGGAAAAACAGCTTTATCATTACATTCAGTACCTTTTGTATTGTGTTGGAATCTTTGCTTGTGAAAGAATTGGGATCTTGTATTACTGTGATCAGCAGTTCTGAAAAACAAGATTGTTTAACATAAGGTAAACACCAAAATCATTTTCAGCATTTCAAAATTGTAGTTTTTAATACAAGATACAAACTTACAGTACAGTGCATCTTATCACAAGTCGAGTCCTGAATGCTCCATCAGACATGAAAACACTGTCAACTTTTAAAAACTAGTAAACTAGTCAGCATACCATTAATTCACCTGTCTGTAGTCACCAGAAATATAGTTTACTTAAGTATCTATAATAGAGAACTGGTGTAAAGAATTTACAATATTTATGACACAAGTGTTTACAGTAACTATTTGTCTCTGTTGTTATTATAAAACCATAAAACCATAACATTGTTGTTTGTGAGTTTTTGAACCACTGTACCATAAACAGCTTTGAACCTTATGTTACAATAAAGTACTGTGATCTCATCTTTCTTTCTGAAAACTGATTCACAGAGGTAGTAGGGCTGAGGTTCATCTTAAAAGAAGACATTGTAATAAAGAACAAATATGTTTTTAGTAATAAGACAATGAAGACAGTCTGTTCTCATGACAGTCAGAGAGTTTTTGCTCAAGGCCTCAGTCTACTGTGTTGAGGATTTCTAATGCCAATATTATTACATACACGTGTCGAAGATCCTGTACTCTACTCTGACTGAGGCTGGAAATCAAAAATGTCAAAAATAAAAAACATTAAATTAAAACCTAAGGCTTTCACACTTCACTAAACCAACTTAAAAATGGTGCATTTGTGGTCTACTTTCGAAGTACTAGAGTAGATTAGAACTACAAACGCACTACATATACACTAAAGTCTCAATTTCTATATGTGGCCATCCCACATATCAAACAATTTTACAATACAGGTGAATTATTAAAAAAGGACTGAAAGTGCTGGAGTAGTGACTCTGCTTCATGCTTCCTTATTAGGCCCTGTGAGTCGGCTTCACCAATCCACCTCACAGGTTCCTTTTTTCTTCTCTCTCTACAGTATGTCTCACACTTCCCCCTATCACAGCCATGGCTGAATTCAGGAGTGTCTCCTGTGGCCCCGAGACTGAGCCTGCCTGCATGCAGAGAGCCCTCAGTCTCCCCCTCACTGCAGGAAACCCCAGTCTCACTTTTCTCAACCTTCACGCGACTGTCACCCTTGAACTGCTGTATAAATGTACCAGGTGCCTTATGCAGAAGAACACCAGCTTCTGTTTAGCCTTATACAGTGGGCTATAACATCTCACCTGGACAAGCAGGCGTCTACACACATGTGAATTTCTGTTGACACTGTGAATCATATCTAACATTACAGCCCCCTTCCAAACAGAAAACACAAGGACCTCATTGCATGAGGCAAACCAAGAGCAGATTTCTATAACACAAGGATTTATCTGAAAGTGCTTTTTATTGTGTTAAATCTGTAGTATCTTCTAAAATATTTATTCTACATCAACAACTTTGCATTAGGACACTTTCCATATTTTCCAGTTGCCTTATACTGTATATACTATGAAATATACAGTATATATATTTGATTTGGCAAATACATGTTTTTACATTGATATTTTCAACAGGTCATCTTTCTGAACCATTCCATTATTGAAACTATCAGGGTGACCAGCAATAATCAAGAAGCCAATTATAATAAAATTATTTTATTTTTATTGAAAGGGCAGCAGGTTCAGGTCTCCAACATCATTACAAAAATTAACAAAATTAATAAAAGTCCAAAAACATACTGGTATGTTAATTGGCCTCTGGGAAAATGTATCCTAAGTGTGAGTGTGTGTGTTTGTGTCTGTGTGAACACTGGGATGGACTGGCCAGGGCGTACCTGGCCTTGTACCCATTGCTTGCTGGGATAGGCTTCAGCTCTCCTGCACCCTGAATTGGACGAAGTAGTTTGAAAATGGATTTATCTGGATCATATGTTGTATGTTCAGCAATTAAACAGTATGCTATAACTAAAAAAAACTTCAAGGACAATATATTAAATAAAATAAGTTATAGAAAATACACACCAATATGGCATATTGTGAAGAATGATGATGTGGCTATACCTTTATTTTTCAAATTATGGATTTTTATATGAAGTTATCCCTTAAGACACAGGAAACGGTAAAGTTCTTCAAAGTCCTGCCTGGCTGCGTATCCAACAACAATGCCATTGTGAAACTAAGTGTTCCTTCAGTTTTACCTTTTATTGCTTCCTCCAGCTTAATAAGTAACAGAAACCACAGCTTGTCAGTTATTCCCAGTCAGCGGGAGTATTGTAAACCTTTTGTAATTGGACTGTGTTCTGGGTTGTATATTTACAAACGATCATATCAAGGAGGCAAATGATTATCGAGAACAAATAAAAACAAAATGGAGCTGGGTAACAGGACTTGAATGTTCAGCATTCAGCTTCTTAAGGATATTTACATGCACTTTAATGTATCTGCAAGAGACCGGTTCTCTGGCCTGTAATGTATGCTCTGTGTGTTTGTATGTGCAGCACAGTGGTATAGCTGTTAGTACTGTTGTATCACAGCTACAGGTTCCTGGGTTTGATTCTGACTACAGTCTGTGTTTGTGTGGGTTTCTTCGAGGTGCTATGGTTTGGTTAGACTGGGTTTGCAATATTTTTGTCTAACAGGGGACCTTTCATGTAATAGTGTTTTATGAGGTTTTATGATGCATTGTTCATTGTACTCTACAAACACCAGTGTATAAAATGCAAGGCATCTAAACATTGCACATAAAGTCCCCCCTCTACCTAATGGGTGGAACTGTCTAACAACGCCATTGTCCTGGGTTCAAGAGGTTCCTTTTGTGTGGAGTTTGCATGTTCTCCCCATGCTACCATGTTATGCAAGGAATGTCACAAACAAAGGCAGACATTCAATTCATCCACTTTGTTTGGTTGACAACAACTAATCTCATCCAGCCATTTCTTGAAAGAGGACAGCATATCTGCTTTGACAACATGGCTGGGTAGCTCATTCCTGACTCCCATTACCCTTCATGTACAGAAAACTCCTTTTCTCACTTTCCCGTTGCCATCGGCTTTGGTTTCCTCCCAGCTCCCAAAGGCATGCTGGGTAGGCTGATCCACTGCTTTAAACTGTCCATTCCTGCTCATTACTTCTGCCTGTCAGGACTGGCTCTGCTGCCTATCTGTCCTGTTCTGGGGACTGGAGTTTCAGTCTTTAAAATTGCCTACGTTCATACGAATGATAGATAATATCCATGAAATGTCAAGCCTCCCGACTTGAACCATTTGTGGACCCAATCAGCCTGCTACATCCATTCTATACATTTGCTACACCCCATGTACAATCTAGGAAGACACAAAGGGAACATCCTCCCCAGAGTGTGTACTCCAACCATTTCCTAATTATCATCCTGCCAGCAGTGAAATCCACAAAAAGCTCTGGGGTCCAGTAACAAAAAAAGCTGCTGATGGGAGTGAGGGAGCCGCTCAAAGTAAAAATGAACCTTTTTAAATCATTGTGTTTCTTACCATTCTTCACATTTGTGAGAAATTAATTGATTTTCAGATAAAGCCCACCCCAGACAAAAGGAACAAAAAGAATTAAATCTAACTTACCTTTTGGGAAAGGGTTCGGTTGGACAAGGTTGAGGAAGGAATGGACAAAATTCGAGGGGATCCCCAAGATGGAGTCGGCGCTTGGGGCAGGCACCTGCCCAGTGCTGTTGAGCCATCGCAGGGTGAGCTGACCGGTTGAGCAGGCATTGGACACGTTCTGACCGCTGCAGAACCCCAGGAGCAAAACAGCCAGCTGGACCAGGAGAAGCAGGCCTTCCCGCCTCCCTGAGCTCAGTGGAGAGGCAGCCATTCCACACTGTACTGCCTTAGTTTGGAGGTGCCAAGTCACAACCACAGCATGGCCCCACTCTACCACACCTGCAGGGTGCTTCTGGTCCTGCAGCAGAAAAGAGTTTAGTTCAGCTGCATTTATAGACAATCAACATTGCATCTTCTTAGTGGTCCAGGGACAAAGATGTTCATATTCCAGTACTACTACAAATAATAATTCCTTGAATTTATATAGTGCTTTTCATCCCAGTGCATCTCAGCCCACCTGGATGATGTGCAGGATTTATGTGCCAGCAGCCCCTGCTATAACTCAGCAGGTCAGACAAGTCTGAGATGTGAGAAAATGATTCACCAATTGAATAAAGAGGAAACATTATAGACTGGAATTTTTCCAGTCTACTGGGATTAACGCTCTTTGGGAAAGTATAATATCACTTACCAATGTGTTTTCAGTAATTGTGTTTATAAATGTTTGAGTTAACAAAGTTATAAACCCCCCTGTATAACCACTCCTTGTTCTGTTAACTCCCAGCTCTGTGAAGGTCAGAGGATACAGAGAATTTGAAGTTAGAAAGAGTGTAAATGCAAGAAAAGCAATGGAGCATCTGTTCCAATGAGACAGTTGGTCAAAAAATGCACCAAAACTTAGGAAAGACTACCTTCTAACTGATTGGTCTATCAAAATTATAAAATGGACTAAAGGGGCTCAATATTCCTCTATCCAAGAGTAATGTATTAATTCATTGTGTTAATATTTTGTGCATTTGTTACAACATTGTATGATGGTAAAACATTTAAGAGATTTTGGATTGCAAAAAACTTAAAAAAAAAAGACCTGTAAAAAGTGACAAGAAATAATGTAACTGAAAACAAGTAGGTACGATTTGAATGCACAGAGTCTTCCTATATACAGTAAATGTAGGCAGAATAGCAATTCAAAGACGAATAGCTAATGTTGTGAACTGTAAGGAGAGGCAGATGTAGTTTCCCTTACCACGACTTTATCAAGACCTAGAAAGTTAGTGTATTCAGTTGGTGTTCATTATTGTTTTGTTTTCTTAGAACACATCCTTAAAAGTCTGGACATCTTGGCTTTTTGTTGTAAGTTTTTCATTGTTACTTTTAGTGTCTATGATCAGTAATGATTGCATACAGTATACACATGTATGTATATCCACTATGTGATTTAACAGACACCTGTTGTTAAATGACAGCACCTCCTTCCTATTAACCTGTTAAATTGAGGTCTACTTGTATATACATTTAACCCCTGTGGCTGTAATTTTCCCTTCTTTTCTTATTCAAAAGTTAAATTCTGCTCTGAGACTAAACTCTGCCTGGAAAGCGGGCTCTTTCTACCATCCCTAAAGGTAAACATGAGAGCTGTAAAAATGATAAGGACTGTATAGCTATTCTTGTACACTTTCTGAAAGGTTCCTGTTAACCTGCTCACAAATATTTTTCTGCAATTAAATACAGACAGTTCTGCCTCACCAATAACTTAGGACACACCAAATTAAGGAATTCAGTTTTTGTCCCATATATTCCCTGTGAATTATATCAAATTACAAAGGAGTGAGCATATTCCCCAGTCCACAAGAAAGTATGGGCATTCGTGTTTTAACACATTTCAGGAATAGGTTCGTGTCAGAAAATAATCTATTGGTTCTCAATGGAATTTACTGTTTTTCATGACACAACAGTTAATTTGAATTTAGAGATCAATGTGAGAGAGAGCTACTTGGTAATTAAACTATGTTAGAAAACACATAGAAATAACGGGCAAGTGCCTTATACTTTGTTTCCTAAACCATGACTTCATACAGATGTAAATTGAAGAACTGTACACATGCTTGTCTTTCTTATGCAAAATGCAAGAATTTTCCTGGCTGTCATTACCTCTTCAGAGATATGATTACCTAATTAGTACACTGCATTTCATCTCCACGTCCAAGGTCCTCTGAAGCTCGTGGAGATATTGGATCTTTAAGCCAACAGAAGTGTTCAACAGCTCTGCATGAAATGTGGCCAGTAGTTCTGGAGCCATACGTAGGAGATTTGGGGTTCCTCTTGTTTCATTTTTTTACCACTTTCTATTAATTTGCTGTTGTATTCAGTGATACCAGTTGTAGCCACTTGTTCCACTTGCAGCCTTTTTTCCTATGACACTGCAGAAAGGACCCCATCTTCTATTACTTGCAGTATTCAAGGAATATAGGAAACATAACATACTGGCCACAATTTGTACTTTGGATAGGACAGGTCACTTTTATGAACCATGCCATTTTCACAAATTGTGGTAGGTAGCAAAATAGTTACAAGTAGAAAAATTAAGTAGTAAATAATATTGTTTAGGGTTGCCAAGTAGTGATGCTGCTCATTTTGAACAACACCAGTTTGAAAGAAACGTAAACAACTGTGGCTGTCCTCTGCTGTATATTTGCATTTTACATGCAAGGATGCATATTATTAAATGCATCATACTCTAGTTTGGGGGTGGCACGGTGGTACAGTGGTTAGCGGTGCTGTCTTACAGTGCTGGGGTAAAATTCCTGGGTTCTCTTTGTGGAGTTTGTATGTTCTCTTGGGCTCGCATGGGTTTCCCCTAGATGTTTCGGTTTCCTCCCTCGGTCTAAAATTGGCTCAGCTGTGAGTGTGTATGTTAGTGTCTGTGCATCTGCTCTGCGATTGACTGGAGCCTATGGCTTCCCAAGATAGGCTCTGGCTCCCCAGTGACCCTGAATTGAACGAAGAGGTTATTAAAACTGATGAGATAAAATAGTTCATTACAATTCATTATCAAAAGTTTCTGAAATACACATTTTTGGAAATTTTGTTACGTCACAGTTTCAGCAATTCCCACAGCAGTCTTATTTTTATGTAATTGTAAACTGTGGAAATTAAAAATATATTTTTCATGCACAACCCCCGCAATCTGTAGTCACCATGAAGAGCTGCAGGAGCTCAACCGGAGTGGTAGCAGACCTCTGCCCGTGGGTGCAAAATCAGATTGGTTGAAAACCACTGATCTCATGAGCGTGACTAATGAGGCTGACATCACTGAGGTGACTAATTTTCAGCCGTCAATTTTTTTATTTAGCAGCCATCGGTGGTGCAACTGTAAAGACTGGTGATGCGCGGTTACCAAGGTGATTACTCTCGAGCTGCGTTTGTTAAATCAGATGGAAAAGAGTTTTTAGAGAGAAACAGGAAGACACCTTTCCAGGCAAATCCATGAATCAATCAACCAAAACATAAAGAAATTCAAACTGGGATAAGGCAGAGTTCAGTTAGTTCAGTTAACATAGGTGGCGCCTAACATAGCAAGGTTACATGGAAATGCTTATTGAGCATAAACGAGTCAAAGTCTTATTATGTGCCTTTTGTATCTCAAAGCACCCTGAAGAGGACACTTGTTGTAACTTATTGGGTGCCCTTTTTAATAAATGTACATCAGCGCTTTGGAGTTATTATAAAGCTAGTCGAAGCTAGGAATTCTTTTTAAAAGGTTAAAAAATTGTATTTTATCATATAGGTTGTATATTTTTCTGGTAACATTCAATGATTTAAAAATGTGTAGCAGCAGGCTGTGGGTTACAAATTTTCCTGCTTGCATCTCTTTGAACTGGAGAAGACAGAGGCAATGGGAAGGTTCTTTGGCTTCCTGAGCGCCATCTTTTCCACACAGATTCTGAAAGAAAGAAGCTGCAAAACTTCTGGAAAACAAATCCGCTGAGCCCTGGATCACTGTAGAGAGTGTTTGCCTCAGGACAGTGTAACATGAGTCTTTGATTATTTCCAAAAAACTAAAACAAGAGCTCTCACTGCTGTGATACTAGGAGAAGCTTCCTCTCTCTATTTTCACAAAGCTCAGTGACGCCATATTGTAAATACAAACAGCTCAGCCAAAACGCAGGAGGGATCATGCCCAGACACTAAAACGTCCCCATTAATGGTAAAAAGGGAGAACAACCTTTACTTGTGTGCCACTTGTGTCTTATTTACAAGTGCTAGGTGTGTCGTTTCGGGTGAAGAGGGGATTTAAAGTGGTTGGCACCACCATGCTAGCTACAACACGTTGTAATACAAATGTGCCCGTACAGGTGCCAATGCGTCGTCTCCATATGGCAGAGGCTGTAATGCAAATGTATACAGCTGTGTGAAACTAGAAATCACACATCCTCCAAGATCTTTCACTGCTGGCTGAAATTTCAGATTTCTAACATCACACCTACCTGAACAGTCACATACAGGAGAGTGCAGCATCATGCAGTTTCATAGAAACTGCCATTCTATTTAAAACAGACAAAACGGAGTGTAGATGAACTTGCATTTATGAGTAAATCAACATTTTTCTTTATATGCAGCTGGGCTAAAATGCATTTAAAACAAACTATAGAGTGGATCCGTAAAGCTAGTAAAGAGATTCATGTTCGGAAGAAAACATTAAACTTGAAATTCAGGTTCAAAAGAATGCATTAAATAAACCAAGCTGCATTTTAGTAAGCCAGTATTTTTTATGGTTTTGTTTATTAACACTGAAGACAGTGGTAATACATTTTTACATAGTTCTATGTAAAATCACCTTGTTTCTTTAGAGTTCGTACAAGCCTGATTGTTTCTTTGTACTTTGAACAGTCTGTAAAAGTACGGAACTGGCTTATCTGTCCATTACATGTGTGTGGATTAATTTGTCACCACATGTTAACTCAACTTTTCGTTGAAGATTAAACACCAGCTCCCCTTACGTATGAGTTTCCAAGGACAAGTCACTGTTGCAGGGACTGCCTTGCTGTACAGGGGCAACAAATACAGAAACAAATAGAGAAAACTGCATCCTAGAAAGAAGACATTCTCACATTTCATCAGATGCTCATGTCTCTGAAAAGCATTCCATTCTGACTTTATTCAGAGTTCTTTCCCACCCTGAACTACCTGCAAAACAACATGATTTTAAACATCATGGAGAACAGTTTGTCAAGTTCTTCCCACAGCATTGATCGTGACAGACGAGAGAAAGTTCTCTGCTCAAGAGCATCAGGTACATAGTTATTCCACAAAAACACTACAGGGGGTTTCTTGACTATACGTGAAAAAACTGATCCTTACAGCCGTCCGCACACAGTCAAAAAGGAATATGTTGGCATATGCAGACGTTTAAAAAATTATTAAAAGTAGCTTGGAGCATGATTTTACAGCAGATCTGACCAAACACCAATGCAAATGGAGAAAAATGAAACTCTTTTACCTTTCTGTCTGCAGGGAGTAACACAGGTGCGAAGTGGGACAAAGGACAGGCTCCTGACACTGTGCTCACTGCTGTCTGTGAATTGCAGGTGTGTCCTTTTCCTAAGAAACCAGAGAATGTGTGGTGTGAATGTAAGGTTCTTACTCACAGTTTCACCCAAAATGCTGCGAATGAACAGGAGGGAAAGAGGAGGGAGGGAGGGAGAAAGAGGGTTGGGTGGGGGGAGGGATAGCTACAGGCAGTGAATGAAGGAGCCAGGGGAGGGCTTTCAGGAAAAGGAGACAGACACAAGACGGAGGGAGGAGGTCAGAGCCAGGGAGGGGGAGAGGAAGAGACACTTCATCTTGCTCAACAAACGCAGATGTGTTTCTAAGGATTGTAGGCATGAGTCTACAGAGAGAACTTTTAGGACAAGCTAGAATGTCCTCCTTCCAACTGAAGTTCAAAGCCAGACACCTGTTTAACTCTGGAGTTACTAGAAACAACTCACATGCGCCATATAAACTGGACTTCTGCCGAATGAATTACTTGTGCTGTGAAGGTGCTATATTTCATTCACCCACTCATTCGTGTATATATTTAATTGACTGATATCTCTGTCTAGAAAATACAGCGCACAATGCAGTTTCAACTTGTTTTCAAAGTTCATGGAGCACAGGAAAACCGAACAGAGTGGACTACAGGGGAGAGCAGCAGTCAGGACAGTGTGGTTTCAGAAGGCTCATAATGGAAATGGGGAGCTGGTGGTGAGACTCCACCACACAGGGGAGTATTGATGACCTCAAATGAAGTTTAGCAAATTCAATTCATAGCAAAGTCATTTGTCACCCTTGACACATACAGTATGAAGCCATTTAAGGATCTATGGGAAATGCAAAAAAAAAACACAATCTAAGACTATTGGAGGATAACCAAACTCTCGGGTTCAATTTGGGTGGTTTGGGTGGTGGGGGGAGTAAACAAGTACTTACCCCTCCAAAAACATTACTGTGACAGACCTACCTCTCCTCAGGTGGTCCATGATGCTTGAGCACAAGGGCAAACTGGAATGGAACAGGGAATTCTGTGCAAAGAGGGTTTATTTTAGTACCATATTACAAGAAACCAAGAAAAGAAGCACCAACTTTTCACAGCTCAACAAGATCCCTGTGAATCCCTGTATATACCAATTTATTCTAAATGAAATCTATGTAAGACTGTGACTCTCACCCTTCACCAATTACTTTATTAACTAAGTAATTCACCAATCTAATCTGTGAATCTATTTACAAAGACTAATGTCCCTAACAACTTCTAGTGGCAGGTTAGCTGAAATTAATGTTTACTCTTCCTGGCCTGCCACAGTTATTTTCTTTGCCTTTGTGTTGCATTTGTGTAGGCATGGTGGAGCAGTGGTTGGCATTGCTGCCTCGCAGGGCCTCCAGGCCTGGGGTGCTGTCTGCGTGGAGTTTGTATGTTCTCCCGTAAGTTTACGTGGGTTTCCTCCAGGTGCTCCAGTTTCTTCCCACACTCAAAAGACATACTGGTAGGTTAATTGGCTTGTGGGAAAATTGGCCCTGCTGTGAGTGTGTGCATGTCTGTGTCTTTATATGCCCTGCAATGGACTGGTGTCCCATCCAGAGTGTATCCTGTCCTGTGCCTGTTGCTTGTCAGAATAGGCTCCGGTTCCCCCATGACCCTGTATTGGAAGAAAAATGGATGGATTGTGTAGACACGGTGGTGTAAATGAATGGCTCATACTGGGTGAGATATTTGGAAGGTCAGTCGACTTATTCGAATCACTCTGAGTAAGCACCACAGAATGATGAGTTGGGAACACATGACCACTCCCGCTAAAATAATGCTGACTGATAGATTCCATACAGGAAGATTCCTTAACATAACAGATATTCGCTGGGAGACGTTCACCTTCTTTTTTGGTTGTTTTTTTCATGGTGGCATGCTGGCTCCAGTGATCTGACTTCCATTCTTCCATTGGCCGGTGCCCATGAGTTTGTGTGTTAATCCACTGCTGTTTTAACCACATTTAAACACGACCAAGCTAATACACTCACCCTCTCCACTGCCATTTCACGGTTAACGTTTACATTGGCCAGTTATCTTTAGAAACCCCCTGCACAAAACGCTTGGCTGCACAATTATTAAAAATGGAAAAAAATGAATTGATTCATAAGCATGCAAGAAATGTAACATCTGCAGAGTAAGGGACATCTACTTCTAATAAGTAATCCATTACAACTACATGTAAGTTAGTAAGGGATTTCTTTTTCAATGAAATTGAATTGGGGGGGGGTCATTTTAAAACGTCACCAGTAACAGTGATCCATATAGTTTCTATCTAGTTACTATGTGAAACAATACAGTACATTACCTCTTTGAAGCAATTTCCTCTTACTTATTACTAATAACTTATTTAAGAAGTAATACCTTATGCAGGTAACTAGTAACACTAATAGATTACTTTTGTAAAAGTAACTTTCCCCAACACTGAATGTGTAAATGGAATCCACAGTGAACTGCTGTGAGCTAGGATGCTAACAGATGTGAGAGGGATAGTAAATGAACAACTAATGAGAGTGGCGCACCTGTTTCCAGTCTGCACACTGCACACGAAGGAAATTCCCCCTGCCAGCCGCTGTCCGGTTCAGATAAAAGCTTTTCTGAGTTCACAAGTCAGCATTACAGAACAGTGCAGAAATTGTGGCAACATCCCACTTCTCTCCGATATTTGCTGAAGGTAGTTTTGGCAGTTGGGGCGTATAGCAAAGAGGCTTCCCAGCACATTCAGTCAGACTAAGGAAAATGTACAGTGGAATAGGGCTGACTTTTTGGTACAGTTTGGTGCCTTTGAAACCTGTGCCATTTATGTTTGGACATGTGCACAGGACAGGTGTTTGAGGAGAGTGTTGGAGAGAAGCATACACCAAAAGCAGAGTGCTGCAAAGTCATGTTTGTGGGTGGATGCAAGGCCTACCTACTGTTCAGCACAGGGAGCACAGTCTCGTGTTTCTTTGGACAGGATTGTGGGCCACTCTGGGAAAGCCAGTCTCTATAAAAAGCTGATTGCTTTCCTTGAATTCTTAATTTACTGCCTGACAGCGACCCCAGCCCCCCCCACACACACACACACATTGCCGGCTCCCCCAGGGGCTCAGCGAACCATGACAGGAATGTAGCTACAGTTCTCAACAAGGTGCTGGCTGAGCCGCAGATGCTCTTGTCATTAATGTGGGCCCGGCTTTGGTTTATCAGCACAGCACTGCTTTCCGTCCACCGCCGATAACAAGAAGCTGAAAGCAAACTTCGTCCGAGTGGCCAGCCAAGGAAAATCCAGAAAACCGTCGACAGGGAACAGTTGTTTCATTGTTAAAGAAAAAGTAATGCATAATGAAGGAAAGGACCTGCGTTAAGGGTACTACTCACTAACCAGAGAAAAACAAGACCTATTTGAACAAGATCTACTTGACGTGAACCGGAGTTAAACCAGAGATCATTGAGGTCCACCAGAGCACAAATGAGAGCCTTTACAATGAAGCCACTTGGGAGGCCGCCTGCGATTAAAATGTAATACTATTAAAACTGTGTAACTGTGTAACTGTGATTACTTACTAAACCTCCAGGCTGTAGAGGTTCAGACAATTGCCGTTCGATGCAATATGAGCTCTGTGCGAGTAATATGAGATTACAGACTGGAGCAGCCAGGTCTCGCCCTGACCCCAGTGACAGAGACACTCAGCGTGCTTCCAGGCGCTCACTTTTGCACAGTGAACTGAACCCCGACCTACTGCACCCAGCTTGAGCCCAGCGGAGCACCTCCACATGGGGTTTCACAGTTGCAGGCGGTTAAAGACATCAGTCAGGTGCAGACAGCGATGTTTAAACTCCCGTCCATCAACCCTATAAGAGCTGGGTCACTCAGGAACATTACTTGAACCAGTTAACCTCCTTCCCCAGTTCTTCAGATGACTTGCATTCCTTTGTTACTAGAGCTTGGCACTACAGATAATGATGACTGCGGCAGACCACACATGGTTTTAAAATCACCCTTAAATTTAAACAAAATAGCAAGAACTCTGCTTAACTGATAGTCACCAAATTACCATGTACAGCAAAGGAGACTGACAAACTGTGCTGTATTCCTGCCAGCAACTATCTGATCAATGTGACTGGATTAATCAGTGCAGCTTAAACATTCCTAACTCATTTCTTGGATATCAGTACTGTTTAACAGGAACAGGTTTTTCATAAATGAGGATGTAATGAATAATCCTCATTATGGCATTAATAATCAACCGACCAAACACATCACTCTGTATCTTCAAGGCGCAGCTCATAATATAAGAGCAAGTCTAAAGATGAAATTATATCATCCAGGTTTTACCTGTGTGTGGTGACTGGACCTGTAACAGTCGTATCATTTGGTATTTATGTTAATCTTAATATGACATTTGCAAATATTTGTCTTTACCAAGATGTAAAACATTGCTTATGGGTAGTAAAATGTGCACTTATCATCAAGCTGACTGGAAACATTTGTAATGATCCTCTTATTTATTTAATCTTATAATTGAACGAAGTCCACAAGCTAACTAGATTTGTATCCAATTTAATTTCCTTGTTCCTTCTGGTAGTACAGTAGATGTGAAAGGTGAAGTCAAACACAGGAGTGTTTAAACTTTATGTGTTTCAGGTGAAAAGTATGTGTCTCACGAGAACAGTGAGTCAGTATTTTCCTCATAACATTACAAGTTTGGTTATAAGCAGTCTGTTCCTGTTTTGCAGATTCATCACAGGAAAAAGGGCTGGTTATACTTGGTTAAACTCAGTGGGTCCTTTTAAAAGTGAGTGGATAATCTGAAGGAGTCCAGGGATATACAGAAGTGAAAAACAGGCAACCTTCAGCTCTAACAATCTCATATGTTAATCAAGCACTGTCAATTGTTCCACTTCTTGAAAAATAATGTACCCGTAGGCATGACCTTTTCAAACTGCAGTATTCTGGTTCCCCAGGATTAGTGCTCTCTAACGTCATGTTGGGCTATAACAACATGACACAGATACATTGATAGACTTCTGTTACAGTACACTGTACCCTCAGTACCGCCCCATGGAAGCATGCTAAAATAACCAGTGCTGGAGGAGATTAACCACATCCAGCAACACGGAATACAGGGTCTACATACTGATGAGTTGCATATCTTTTAATGCTTCCTTGGAAAAAATATAATCACTCACATGGAAAAGCGTGCATGAGGATCTTAACTGCAATCCCTGTAAAAATTAGATTTTTTCCAAAGATCCGGTACTTTATACGGGATCAACAAATTGAGCAAAATGTCAAGGTCCAAACTACATGTTTGGACGGAAGGCACACCTTTGTACGACTTAGTGCAGGGACTGTTCACAGGGAAGCCCCATGAAAAAGTGCATTTGGAAAGACGCGGTTTGTGATGAAGATGGGTTCTGAGCAAACAGATGTCATATTGGCTGCCTTGTAACTTTTCCAGGGGTGTGGCTCATAAGAGAACAGGGCAACACTGTTATGCTTTCATAGACTCAGCAGTTCCCAGCAGATATTTGTTGCAAGTAACTGATATGTATTATGTTATCATCAGGGTATAGTATGGCTGGGAGTGCCAGTGGAAACTGAATCCTAACGCACCACAGCTCACTGCCTACCACTGCCCAGAGTTCTGTAAGAGTATGCATATGGAATAGGGCTCAGCGCACTGACCGCTGCCTTGAAAACCTAGGCAGTGTGGAATTGCCCCACAGCAGAGGAGGTTGCGGTTGTCCAGGAAGTGGAGCTGCGTGGCGTTGAGCCAGTGGGCGAGTCTGATCAAATCCCAGCAGGGGCTGGGCTCCACTTGTCTCGACACACACAGGCCACTGCAGTATGGAAAAGGCCTTTAGGAGCGGAGGGCTTAGCACTAGTCCAGCGTGTGTGGATTGGGAACTGAAGATGGGATTCGAGATCGTACCACAGGATCCACATCCACATTTGTGTCCCCTTTGTAGGAAAGAAAGCTGGGTAGTGAACATGCACGAGCTACTGCTTCGACAGAGCAGAGCTTGTTTTTATGGCCTGAGGGAATAGAGGTTACTAGCCAAGCACATACAGAAAGAAGCATGCGTGTTTGCATTGTGATGTTATGGAAGATTTCAAAAATGTATGCTTTCATCCATTAATCCTTACCACTGTACCTAATACAGGGTTGGGGGGGAGCTGGAGTCTATCCCAGCAAACAACAGCCGCAAGGCAGGGTACACCCTGGACGGGACGCCAGTCCATCACAGGACACAAAGACTCCAATATGCACACACTCACACCAGGTGAAATTTCCTAGAAGCCACTTAACCTACCAGTATATCTTTGGACTGTAGGAGGAAACAGGAGCACCTGGAGGAAACCCATGTGAACACAGGGAGAACACAGACAGAACCCCAGGAATTGAACCCAGGGTCTCAGCACTGTGAGGCCACAATGGTTACCAACCCACCATTGTGCCACCCAAAAGTATGCTTAACATAGAAACCCAATGTAATTACCTTTTGTGTTGAGCCTCACATTCCTGTTCAGATTATTTAAAAGCTACATTCCAACAGAAAGATTCTCAAATGAGGGTGAAACAAAAAAAAAAGGAGTTTAAAATGATAACTGTGCAAAAACATTGTTCAGGCCAAAGAAAGAATGAAAGAGCAGTTAAAAATGAAAGGAGACAATTTGGCAAATTTGTCTTGTTTCTCTAGCAGCTAATTGAGAATCTCCTCCAGCCATTTGTTGAAAGAAGCAAGGATATCAGTTTCAACAGCATGGCTGGGTAGCTTGTTCCAGACTCCCACCACCCCTTGCGTGAAGAAGCACTCTCAGTTTGAAATACACTCCCATGTAGTTTCCACCGGTGTTCTCTGGCACATCCTTCCCTGCGGATTCTGAAATTGCATGGATTGACTCTGTTGCGTGATTGAGGATTTCAAATACTTGTGTTAGGTCCTCTTGTAGTCTTCTCAGTTCAAGACTAAAAAGCTTCGCTGAGTTTATATTCAGAAGCTGGTTAATTCAATGGCACATTTTGGGAGGTCCCAACAGTTTTGCAAAATGTTATTCCTGCCCGATATATCGGTGTTCTCCAGGACGGACACTGCACTGCCTATTCCAATACTCATCTATCCAAAAAGGAGGGAGTGTTATTATAGGAGATGGTGCCTCTAATCTCACTGGTCATACAAGATAAAGATACAATAGTTCAACAAGCTAGGGCATCACAAGTAAGTGAGGACACCCCAACCTTACTCTGGGTTTACCCCTATAGACTGCATGTGGACTAGTGTTTTACCATCATTAGTCATTGGACTAAATCAGAAACCTGGATTTCCATGTTCAAACGTGAGTCAGGAGTCACTGTTCTGTACTTACATTGTGTAGGAAAGCACCCTTGATATAGTGAAGTGTAACAGAATAAAATATTTCCAGTGGTGTTTATGGTTCATGTTAGTGTGCAGGTCTTCCTTCCAAACTAGAATATGATGTAGCTAATAATGTGTATCTTTACATGTAAAATCTATCATTCTTGAAGTTTGTGCAAGCTGGTGTTGCTCCTTTTCACCACCTATTACAAGGATGCATCTTGACTGCTACAGACAACTCGCTCCGGAGGTTTAATGACGCACCCGCACAGTTTCTTTCTGAATCATTCCTATCCGGTCGCTGTGAATGAACACGAACTGCAGTTCGAAACCGTGACTCAGCTGGGAAGCAGGCTGTGCACGATGCCGAGATTGTCACGAGGTGTCTACCGGGGCAGGTATTGTGAAGGTGCACTTCCAGCCACATGGAACCCAAGCAGGACCTCCAGATCCCGGGGCTGTGGTGTGTGTGCGGGCTCACCACCTGCTCACTGGAGGAGCACATGAAATCAGCGCTGATCCAGGAGAGAGGGGACTCTGTGGGTTTAAGCGCTTCACAGGTCTAGGGTGATTGCTCGCCAAACTTTTTCTTTGAAAGGGAAGCAGTATATTCGCATAAATTCCAAGACGGAAACATATGTATCTGTAAACAGGGCCACATCCTGTAACAGGGGGGAATGTTCTGTTTAACAAAGCATTTACCCGTTTCTCCTTAACTCAAGGGCTAATACAGGTGAAACATTAATTTGTCCTGTTTTCATAAGTATGTGCATGATCGTGCATGGAGATAAGTACAATAAGACCTTGACGTCTGTCCCTTTAGGACTGGATACAGTTGATTGCATGCATTCAGAGCAGTCTGTAATTTCTGTAAAAAGTGATGATAGCAGAGCCGTAGGGAATTTACCCCCTTTTCGCGTACTGATGTCATGCAGTTTGTAAAGTTAGCACATTGCCACTCTCTGGGTGGGCTACAGGGCAACCTATCTCCCCTGTATGTGTGTATTAAGTGCAGCATATACATTATCATCCACAGGGAAACACTCTGTAAAGTAAGTTAAGCAAAAAATGAGTTGTGAACAGCAGGCTCTTTTTATAGTTTGTGTTATTATAGGGGACATTTAATTTTATGTTTAATTACACCATTTAATATGGGGACTAAACCAGCAGTGCTATTTATACTTACAACAAACTACATAAAAGATTAGCTCTCCACTGATCTGTGTCATGTGTTCATACACGAAGAAGTACCGAGTTCTACCACCTATGTTGCTATGCCTTTAGCACAACCACCTCTTCACAGTGCATTCATGCCATAATCACCATGTTTTGAATGCAGTTCTCTTTCAAATGTAGGAAGCACTGCTGTTCCCACATCCTGGAGTCTTCCAAACCTCAAGGAGTCGGCGACAACCTTTAAACAGCAGCCAACCTTTGCTGCACAGATCTACTCGCTGGGCAGGTGGGAAGCACACAGGTCAAGAACAGGGCAAGCAATGGCGAAAGAAGAAGGCAAATAAAGGCAAACACTTTTAGTAAAGTGAAAAGTCATCTTTTATTGGTACCATACAGGAATTATCAATGGCACAAACTAAGCAAAAATAAAATATTAAACTGCCCCAATGACAAGAGGCTCTACAGGGACAGCAATGGGTACACATCACCATTCAGTTTGACCTGTGAAAGGATTGCACCTATAGTACAGAGAAGTTGGAGGAGCAGCTGCACTGCTTGACTAACTCTGACCTTTGACTGCGGCTGTTTTTAAGATCCAGACCCTCCCTCCTCGAACCATAACATCCATCTAGAGCTCACCTTTAAAAACTTGAAAGCAGACATACTGAACGCTTAGGGGTGAAGTTTGGTTTTTTCGTCATTCCAAAATTTCAAACAGCCATGCAGATAAAATGCGACGAGCTTCTCGCGAGCTCTAGAACGCCCTCTGGTGTTGACAGCTTTTCAGGACAGAAACATTTCCATCCACAGTGTAGCGCCTGCCTCCAAAACCAACACAAGTTCCTCGCAGACACCATTCACCAAAGCCAAAACAAATCCAAACAGCTCAGGCCAGTTATAGAATTAAAAATACAAAAGGGGCATTCTGAGATCTGTTAAAGAATAAATAATTTCAAATAAATTATGAGAGCATCATGGTGAGCAGTATCTCTGCAACACTTGGTTTATAAAACTGGAGTGTCACCTCCTCTTGTACACAATTGACTGGAGGCCCAGAGAGGCACTCCTGTGTCGGCACAGCAGCAGCAAGGAGGAATGTCAAGTTGTATAGAAAAGCCTAATGAAGCAGAATGAATGCACACAAATATAGACAGCAGGAAAGCCAAAAGTGAAAACCTGCTATCAGTTATAGTTGAATGGTGATCGTACCCTTAGTTCAATCAATCTCATACAAGTCCAAAAACAGGGATTAAGTTTTCGGTTTTGCTTTTTCCTTTCTTATGTTTTACATTTGATAAGAATGGCTTCAGGGTGCTCTAAGGAAGAATACATTTAATTACAGTTATACAGAACTTTGCTACTACCTTAAATATACAAGCACAAATACACAAAAACAGAAAATCAGAAAAAAAATAATCCACACAAGCTTACTCTGTCCTTTAAAAAAATACAAACCAATATTTTTAGGGGTAGGGGGTTTTAATGGATCTTGAAAGTAGCTCCTTGGTCTGTAGCTTTCATTATCAGTAAAAAAAAAAACACCAAAAAAAGCATCCTTGGGAAAGTGAGGTGAGTATAAAATGTTTTACTCTTTCAAAATGCTGTCAAATATTTAAAAGCATTATAGGAGGAACAAGCATTCTCTTAGCTGTTTGACCAAGAATAAGCTGAGGTACCGGGCTTACAGAGCGAGCAAATGAGCCAATGAGGTTCTGAACAAGTCAAGATGGCTGTCTTGATCTGGGAAAAAAATCGAATCAGTTTGTTCAAATCGGGTGGGTTGGATGGTTGAAACTGTGAAAGTGCCAGGGCCAGAGCGCCAGAGTTGTAAGCCGCCTCTTCTTCCAGGCCAAACAGTAGAAACTACCCCGTTCTCTCAGCCCCCGACCTGGGACTGCTCACTGGGAGGAAGAGCACTGAAGCCGCTGAACACAATCGCTTCGAACATCTACCTTCAAAGGAGGTGGAAGCTTTTCCCCACTGAATTTTACAGCCCAAAGTCCGAAGATTCTCACCACAACCCCACCCCTGGATTTGGGATGCGATTACTGCATCTGACAGCGGATAGCAACCCTCATCCATTTGAAGGGGGAGCGTTCAACTGCATGGGCTCATACTCACAGGGCAGCGTGATATCCTCACACACCTACGACAACTGTGGCCTTTATTGGAAAGTTACAGCAACCCCCCCAACACTACAAAAAAAAAAAACAGAGGGTAGCTGTATGATGGCCTTGTAGACATAAGATACTTAACCTTTGATCTGGCATTAGCACACACACAGAAGGAGATCAGTGAAGTGTTTATTTTTTAATCCTAGTAAAAGGTTCATATTCACAGAAACCTGACTTACTACAGGGGATTCTTTCAGGGTATTATTCTGACTGTTGTATGTCTAATCAAGCACAGACCATACCATTTCTCAAAATACAAAATAAAAACGACAGTTGTAATATAATAATACAAATTTCTTTAGCATCAAGAGTTTAACATCTATATATGTAAATCTTTCCCCAGGCCCTTCACTCATAATCAGAAAGTTAAAAAAAACTGTAAAAAGACCAAAATACACCACCATTGTATTAAAAAGCATGTTACAGTGAAATCAGTATCATGAATACTAGGGGTATTTCTCTCTGGGTCCATTTTTTTATTTAAGATTTTGATAAAATAAAAAAAAAAGATTAATCAATAAAACCACTTCTACAGAACACATGTGGAAAACAAAGTTTGGAAAGGTGTTCATATCCTCAGCATTAGCAAGGTGTATACAGCCAAACGCCAGTACCTCAATGCTTTACTGTTTGTTTGTATTTTTAAGATTTAACGCAGTGGTTCTCAACTCCAGTCCTCAAGCGGCGTGACAGTACAGGTTTTTGTTTCAACCGGGTCCTACAAAAAAAATAATTTAATTTTTAAAAACCGAGCGTCTGTTTCAGCCTGAAGTGCACACAACAATTTCCAAAGATCAAATATAGCCGGTTGCCGGGCAGAGCGCAGCGTCCCGCCCTGTGGGCACAACCGAAACCAGAGTGGGCTTCAGCGGCCTGCAGCGCGACCCAAGGTTGGAACAAGAACCTGCAGCAGCATCCGGTTCAGGCTGGCGAAGTCGGTCCGGCTGTGGGCGATCGTCCTGGTTCTGTGGCAAGTGGTTATGGTGGACAACCACAGGCTACTCTGTGAAACTGTGTTTGGGCGCAGGATGAGAAACCAGGCGGCCAGCCTTGGATTACTTGGTGTTTTAACAATCAGGACAAGTGGGATCCCGGAAACTTTTGTTGTTTCGTTTTGTTTTTTGAGAGAAGTGCAAGGGGTAGAGGGGAGTTCAGCTCTGAAACCGAGATCACACGCACACAAGACGCCAGGTGTTTCCCATCAAGCACTGCGATCCCTCACAGCGGGGCACGTGCCAGCTGACTGGACAGAGGGCGGAGCCAAGCGCCACTGGTGAAGCGGACCCTACAGGGCGACGAGCGTTGGGCGAGCTGTCCCTACGCGACTGGGTGACAATTCCCCCTCCCTCCCCTGCCCCTCCGCCCCCAGTTTACTGGGACGCCTGCGAGGTGGGGTTGTCATTCTTGCTCTCCTGGCTGGAGGGGGCTTTGCTGTTCCAGGGGCTGTTGGCGCCCAACGCCGGGGAGTTGTTGAAACTGTCCTCGTCATCGATGCCATTGGCCGCGTCAAACTGCGTGTTCTCCAGACGAGTGATCAGCCGCTCATCTTCGTCCCCGAACTCCCCTCCCATCAGAGTGGGCTCTCCCACCACCATCACGTCCTGCAGGGGGGGACAGGAAGGGGCGCAAACATTATCCCCGCAGTATGGGGGAGGAGGGCAGTATTGCCGCCACAGAGCGAGGGGAGGGGCAGGCATGGAGTGGAGCTGGGACTGGTGGGCCCCATGCACACCGAACTGTGGCGCTTCAGCAACGGAAAGTTAAAGTGAAACGAACGGCGGCTCCACGAATTTTACTCAAGGACTCTACATTTTCCCCTTTTAAAAACCGCAAAGCAATCTGCAAGGCTCACCTCTCTGTCGTTTGCCGTTTTATCTTTGAGCTTTGAATCCACATCACGTAGTTGTTTTCCATGTGTTTCTTGACGCTGTAATATTAAACTGCCTCCTTAAGGACGCCTTTTCTTACATGTTCCACCCACAGCCAAGTATTCAACTGCCTCAAAAAACTCTCAAAGCACACCCTTCTTTTGCGATCAAGAATTGCTGTCTCTTGTAATTGCTCAAAATAGGTTTCATGTGACAGCCAGGGAAATTCAGAAAAAACAGTATATGGAAGAAAAGGGGAAAACAGGAGAAGCTCTGCTGAGAAGCAGTGAAACGCCTCCCTTCGTACCCTTCTGCGTTTAACTGTAACAGAAGTGCTTGATCGCTCACATTGCATCTCTTATCAACACCAGGGGCTTTTAAAATAAAAAGTGGTGTTTAAGTGTGGCCAGATATTCCTCTTCATGGCCCTTCTTTCATGCTGTGATTAGCCCATCACAAAAGGAAAAAGGAATGTTTGCAGGCTGTGGTCTTTCCACACTTTGTTACACAGTTACAATCAAGGAAACTGACAATGGCATTATCTTTGTACATTTAAGAAGAAATACAGCTTCTCAGTTTGCGGGATCTTTTGAAAGTGTTTTGGGTCTATTTTCACTTGGCTCATACACAGAAGTATGCCAGAAGTCACCCAGCCTGACCATCAAAGCAGTAAGAAGGGTTATTCTGACGCTTTGACTGAAATATTACAGCCTGGCAGAAACTCTTTTACTACAAGACCACTGCAGCTTTGGGGCCATTATTGGGTGAAAGTTTGTTGTTTTTCTAAAAACAAATTAATCTTAGGTTGCTACAACTATAAGTTAAGTTCATGTTAGAACGTTCACCCTTTGGCTTCTGCAGTACCTGCCAGGGGACAGACTGTGGTCCTGTGCCCAGATACAGTGTGCCATCCAGCTCAGCCCCAGTTGTAGATGGCAACAACACGGGCACTATCAACAACACAGGCACGCCTGTGGCCTTTAGTGCCACAGGCGCCCACACCCACCCTCCTCGGTGCCAGAAAGGTAAAGAAATCAGATGCTTACAGGTACCTGGCTGGAGAGAGAGAAACTGCTGGCAGGGCTCTTCTTCTTGCTGTTGCTGTTACTGTTGGTGCCCCCTCCGGAGCTCATGGTGCTGCCCCCTGACATCTTCCTTTTCCGGCGCTTGCTGGGCTGCTGTCTGGCAGGCTCCGCTGCAGGGGATAGAAGGCCCGGGATTCAGAGGCTTCTCCTGTACGGCTCCCCGATTTGAGAGCTGGGACAGGGAACCTTAAGGATCCTCTCACTACGGCTTCTTTTGTTAAAAAAGACACACCCCAGTGGAAACTCTGCTCTAGGCTAGACTTCAAATGGCTGTATGTGAATTTAAACTAGATTACTGGCCTGAGGAATCCACTTTCCATTTCAAAAGGGGAGAAAAGTCTATTTCTGCAAAGCTGACAGACGGAACAGTATCAAGCAAAACAATAATTTAGAAGATTATTTACTGCTTAACAAAGGACGGAAATCAGGGAGGTCACCCACACACTGCAAAACGCTTATTTTTCTACAAAAACAATCACAAATGATCCAAGAGGCTGAGTGAAGCAGCACAAGATAAATTTTAAAACCAAATAATGTTTTCTTTCATTGTTGCAGCAACAGTGGAACTGAATTTTGGAGAAACGTCAAGAAAATATATTTATTCTAGATTCAAGTAAGTTAATTTGAACAACACTGCCATAGCTATTATTATTATTATAATATTATGGTAAGTAAGTATTATGGTATGACAGTTCAGTACAGTTTGTAATCCTGTATAGCAGATGTGCATCTTACTCCATCCCCATCACATGTTTACTGGTGTTACTTTTTGTTTCCACAGTTTCTATCCATCGGGTCACTGGGTTTAAACCTGCTTCTATGAGTATCTGTACATTGATGGTTACTGGGGTCAGGGTATATATGAGGCCAATGTCTCCTGTCCCAACTAGCAGGAACGAGTATGACCAAATCTCACCTGGAGGGGCCACCATTCTCTGCCACTTCTGAAAGAGACACGTCTTGAGGCAGTCTCTGGGGCTTAAGCTGTAGGTCTTGTGCCTGGACATCAACTCCTGCATGGGCTCTAAAATTACACACAACTGGAAAACAAAAGAGAGACATGGTCTGGCATTCCTTTACATTCCCAAAACAGTGCAAAATAGTACACTTTAAATGTGTCTCAGATTTTCTCTATAATATTCAGGAAAAAAATATTTGGTGAGAGATTAATGTAAGAGAAAAGGTTTATCACAAATTCTATACCAACCTAGATCCTATAAAAACACCAGGAGTTGTTTCAGATTCTGTGCTCAGCTCTGATTATTGACTGGAGTCCTCAGACACCTTATTCGTACATTTATATTACTCCACACAAAAGCATCCTCTGCAGGAAATGTATATATACCAGGACAAAACTAACCGAGCTTCAGAGAGACACAGACATACAGAAAAAACAGAAAATGGAGCTGAATGTTTTCTTTTCAATCCAAGCACCCACAACAGGTTAAATGCAGTGGATGAAGCTCTTACTGGTAACACTGTTATAATCAAGAGGTCTACCAGGCCAGGTTGACAGCTGTACAATTAAGCCCACCTGACAGCCTACTTACTGCGCTGACAAAACATGGCTACTACCATGACATTAAGACACCCAGCAATCCCCAGAGCCGCAGTGGCAGAATAAACTGAGGAATCTCCAAAAAGCTTCAAATCCACCCCACCCAAAACAACTGTGCACTGCTGCTTGGGGGATCCCAGCTGAACATCAGAGGTACACTACAGGGCCCAAAAAGGGCTCTCAATACAGCCCCACAGGCTTGCCTTCAAGACGTGAAAGATTTACAACCTTTTCTTCTGACATCCACTCGTGTTTTCAAGGCCGACATGTGGTAATTGTATGGTAAAAGCTGCCCTCACACGATTAAATCAAAGGATTCATGGGTCAGGAAGCTCTGATAACACTCACTCGGAGGTAGTTAAGTGTGGAGTTTGAGAGGCCACATCTTGTGATGTTTTTCGACAGCTGATCCAACATCTGGGGGTCTTGGGCCTGTGGAAAAAAAACAGGCAATAAACACACAAACACCTTAGCACAGTGGTTCTCAAACTTTTTGGACCAAGTACCACCCCTAATCCAACCAAAGCATTAAAGTACCACCTATAAGTCATCATCTCATAGGAACCCCAGAAATTCTCAATGACCAACATGAGCGCGCGTGCACACACTCATACATACATATAATAAATATTATAATAAACTTTATCTGATATAGAGCTTTTAAAGGTGGCTTCTCAAAGTGTTTTACAGAAAAAAAAACATTAACAACAACTAATAAAAAAAGCACCATTTCAGTGAGAGGGGTGAGCCTGTTTAGTTGAGCAAAGCAGATGTGAATTAATTTTTCGAGCCTTGATACAATTCAAAACAGAGTCTAACAGATATTAAAATGTCAGGCATTTTCTTGACGGCAAAGGTCTCACGGTGGATGTTGTAATGCGTACATTAATTTCTGGAGCAACCTCTCTAATTCGTGCAACTAAACCATTATGTCGGCTTGTCATTGCTCTAGCACCGTCTGTACAAACTCAGACGCATTTTATCCAGCCAAGGCCATTCTCTTCAATAAATTCATTCAGAAGCTGAAATATGTGCTCTCCTGTAGTTCCTGTTGGTAGCAGTTTACAGAACAGAAAGTCTTCATGGGACGTACCCTCAAACCCGTATCTAACGTAAACGAGCAAATTGACCAAACCGACTACAGACTCATCTAATTACAGTGAAAAACATCTGCTCATCTTAACGCGCTCTATCAGTGTACTTTTAATATAATCCTTCATTTCAATAATTCTATGAATGACTGTGTCTTTCAGGGGGGGCAGCAGGTCGAGCTGTTTAGCAGCCTTTTCTCTACACATAATATGTGTCAGCTCTTTTGCCAACGGTAAATAAGGTTCTTCAAAAATAGTGTAGCTTACCTGCTTTAGCAATCCGCAAGCTTGCATTTTTCCGTGTTTCCGTTTTTATTTCCGTATTTAAAGTTTTTATTTCATGCGCATGGGAGTGAAACACAGAAACGCTCAGTGTATTTTTCTCAAATTAGAATAGTTCTTAAATATTTTTCTGTTATCACACTTTCGTGTGCTCACGAGATGACCTGCGTTTGTAGCACGTATTTCTATGCATTCCCGTGTTTACAACGTTGGCTTTGTATCAAAATCACGCACATTCTCCTTTCTCCCTATTTGCTGGAGATACAGTAGCTTTTTTAAATACAATTGGTCACTTGCATCCGTAGCACGCATTCCTTTAGAGTGGTAAAGAATTCCAGAGTATCTCTTGTGTCCACTGAAGTATTAGCGCGCACTGTATCGTAGTACGTAGGCTGCATATTCGACACGTATTAAAATACAAAATATGAAAACCCGTCCCGATTTTTCAGTGCACACGACACAGTTCCAGGGTCATTTGGCGTACCACTGACGGTACGCGTACCACAGTTTGAGAACCACTGCTTTAGCAGAATATGCTATTAAAAGTGTTTGCCTCTCAAGACAGGCATCCAACTGGCTAGCAGGGTGATCTCATAGCTATCCAAAATTAATTTCAAAACCACTTGCTCACTTGTACTGATGCTTATCAGGCATCTTTTTCCATTCACAAGCATTGAAATTCCAAAGGTGCAAAAAACATCTGGTGAATACTAAAACCAAGTTGAGATCTTAAGCATCAGTTCCTACATTAACAGCTGACAAAACAAATTCCAGAGAACACAATTTGTGCAAATTTTACTTTCTTTTAGTGAACTCTTTTACATGCAAGTTCACATCATTAATAACGGCCTGTGCTGTGTGACACTGTTTGCTTGTAAACTTCAGCATAAAATCAATTATATATCACGATCTGATATATAATTGAAGACTATAGACACAGTATAGATATAGCTAAACTGTATTTTATATTGTGAAAGTTATCTGGCTTTGATTAAAAATGTATATTGCAAGTTTTCTAATTCACTCATGTTTTTAGCTATTGCTAAATCTATTTTTCCAGATATTTATGCAGACAATTATCTGGCTAATGATGACATTTCATATTAGGTAGTACTACCTTTTCTGCATTTTTACTAAATCTGGCTAATTTGAATATTCAACACAATCTGATCAGTGCGCCCAGCAGGACTGAAGTTTGACTGTAACTAAAATGATAATTTACGTAATTTGTGTCAAACATCTGTCACTGTCAAAATGTGAAAGTTAAAGGTTTATTCCATGCTGAAAGGAGAAGAAAGAAAACAACGTGTCACACCCGAAGAAGGCTCCACAGCCAAAATGTTGTGTTTCCTTTCTTCTCTTTTCACCATGGAAGAAACCTTTAACTTGTTCCTTTGCAGCCTACGCATGCTGACGCACATACCCACCTGAAATACTTCTGATAGCTAGATGTCTTGTAATTAGTAATCAGTGTCAGTTGTACACTTACATGCTCAGCTTAAAAAAAGCAATTGCTTAGAGTGCCTGACTCTCACAGTATGGTTGAGTTCGGTCCTGTATAGGTTTAGGATTTCTGTTTTTAGGGTCATCCTATTCATCAAAATCATCAACATCAACGCTGATACGCTACAATGAACTGTTGAATTCATAAAGACATATGTGTAAATGATATTATGATCATGATGTTTAGCTAGCTAAACAACACACACTGAAAAATAAATTGAATTATTGCACCATCATGACAAACTTCCACTGCTAACGTTCTGATCACAGACTGTACTTGTGACGTTCACTGCAGGGACTCATCCACTGTGTCCACATATGTGTGATTGTGCACGTACAAAGATTTAATTAATCATTTAAACATTAAATGCATATGAACCCAATCCAAGTGAAATCACATATTGGAAATTAACTCTACCCCCATGCCTTATCTTAACACGGGTAGATTTCAGTTTGATTGGCTGAGCCACTGTTTGACACCCAGCCAACTACTGTCTCAAATGAACACGGGTAAGAGCTCACCGTTTTATGAGAGGCTGATTTCAGAAACACAGAGGAGGTTAGGTTGGGTGTATTTTTGTTTAACACCAATTTATTTGCGTGTAATGAACTTCGTTTGGTCCGCATTACTTGGATACTCATGTCCATACCTCTTCCAAACTTACAGTCTCATCTTCCAAACCTTTCCAGGTCTGGAGATTTTTTTTGATTCCATATGTTTTCAGACTTCCCAGACTTATGCTACCACCCTGACACTATCTCCAAGATTTTAACCAGAGATGGCATCTTCGCACGTCGGTACAGGAAGGTGGGACCCCTCGGCCCCTTAGTCGTACGGCCCGGCTCCTGTCCCCCTCCAGGCGGGTTGGGGTCGGTTCGGTTCGGTATGGTACTCACGTGCATGGCCAGGATGCTGCGCGGGATCAGCTCCCGGTGCTGCCTGATGCTGAAGTGCCACGTTTTTATCCTCATCATGTCATCGAACATGAACTCCAGGTACAGACGGCCTTCCACACACACCTTGGGGGAAACAAAGAAATCAGAATCGGACATCGGGGACCTTTCTGGTCCTGCACAGCATCTCAGGCCTCGAATACAGGAGGAACGCTGACATATTTAAGACTTATTCAGAAGATCCAGAAGAGTGAAAGTAGTGAGTGCAGGTAATGTGAATTACTGTAAGAAGAATACCAGTCTGTGATGCCACAATGCTCCTTACTCTTTGAAATCTGGATCCAGCCATTATTATGAAAAGGTAAAGCAGAAATAAAAAGGTCCACTTTTAGAAACTAAGACGGGCATGACTGTAATTCCATGCACAGTTATTTCTGAAAACCCTCACCAGAGAAGAGGTATGGTACTGCAATAAACCAGACAGTACACGAAACACTTTCTGTGTGTGAGCAGCTGTGCTGTACCTGTGTGAACATGGGCTTCCCGTTCTGTGTGACCATAGTGCACTGGTCACAGTCCAGGGAGACAAAGTTATTGTGGAAGGACTCCTTGGGATGCTTTAAGACGTAGTAAAGCTCTGTGGCGCCGCCTTCAAAGATACTGCGGAAATAGCGAGGGATCAACGTCCGACCGATTGCTACGGGAACAAAAACAAATTCAAGACGAAGGTTAGGAGAAAATCTTCAAGGGGCTCTTCTTCAAATGGCATGGAAAAGGAAAAAAAAAAAATCGAGCAGCGGCTTACTGTATCGTTTGTGCCCGTCCTCCAGGCAGAAAGTGATGGTCAGCATGGCGTCATCCTCGAAGAACTCAGTTGTGAAGGCATCCCACCACAGATTGTCGCACTCCTGCAGGAAAGGGAATCGGATACTAGTTTCACACCTGGCTGCTACCTCTACATCCGATTATGAGAACTCTTAAAAATCCAGCCGAGGCTCCTAATGCACTTGCAGCTACTCAGAGCATGTCTGTCACCCACAGCTCAGCATTTCAGTAAGACTCATTCAGTTAAACATATGCCCAGCCTTTAAAACTCCCAGCACACAACTGGGCAGCAAGGGTGGCAAGTTGATTGAAAAACATTTCTACTACGATGTTTGGGCCCCCTTTCACATCCCCAAGCCTTGAAATTCTTTGTAAAAATAACGGGCGGTAGCTTTTGCTCGGTGGCAAAATGCTCCAAAGATCTCCCCTGGATGTTTCTCAAAAAGCTGGGGGAGAAAACGTATTTACCTCTGTCCAGTTCTGTAGCCGCTTATTGAGCTCAAATATCCTGTAATCTGTCTGGTTCCCATACGGTGTGTGCCGCCTGCAAGGATAGTAACAGTCAGGCCGCTGGCAGATCCTCCCATCACAGAAACAGCACTCTCCACACCTGCCCTGCAACCCCCATCACCCTGCCTGGGCTCCTACCCTCACACCCCATTGAAACTCACAGAGGCATGGAAATAAAACACCCTGCCTGGTACCTGGTTCAGATCTCTTGCGAGAAAACCATGCTTTTAAAAGGACTGCTACTCACTTTGAGCATTTGAGATTTCCAATTCAAGAAAAGGAAAAGTTTAAATTGTCTCTTAACCACTGGTGATGGATACTAATAACGTGCTATGAACTTCTGCAAATTGGAAATAACTTCCAACCTCCTGCAGCCCACTTTACTGATGCAAACAGTTCTGAAACTGTGGATCTCAAGCATTTTTGCGTCTTGATTTTGCATTTTTGCACAGCTCATAGATGTGCCTTTAATTCAGCAGTGCACAAAAACCTAGTCTGAATTACGAACAGATAAACTAGTTACAGTAATCCTGTAGTGAGCACATGCAAAATACGTCTAGCAAAGAGATGATCTTGTCTGTTAGATCCATGGTGTACTATTCTCCTTATCGTTGAAACAACTACAGACAACCAGCAAGATCACAGCCTGACCACTGAAGTGCTCCTCAGAGGCCCACATCCTTAAAAAAAAGTCTTAATTCTTCAAATTAGGCAAAAGAAAACTAGAGTTACTGCTTTCCTGCTTTTTTTCTTTTCTTAAAATTTAAGAAAGAACAACAAACATTTTTTGAATGTTTTGTCCTTAAGAACTGCACATGATGAGAAGTGCATTCTGGCACGAATCTCAGTTTGTCACAAACGGTGTTGTGGTTAGTTGGTTACAAGGGAGATTGGCTTTGTAAGGAAACTGTTGTCAACTGAGATATGTGGCATTAGGACACGATGGTAAAGGTTGAAGTGGAACTGGCAAACTTTAGATCGACCATGAACATAGAACAAGACCCCAGTATTTGGACCAAGCAGATTTGTGAACAATCTCTGTGATGTAACCTGGTATCAGATGAAAATACAAACTCCAAGAATAAAATCTTAACACTGCATGTGAAACAGGGAAAACACAGGCAATGCAGAGGGGGCTGTGAAACAGGAGCAGGGCAAGGGAAATGAGGTACTTACCCTATTCCAGGCTCCAGATACGTAGGAGGGTACATAGGTGTAGGACTGCAAAGAGAAAAAAGTAGAGTTGTGAAGAATCTGCCATTCCAAACAATCTTTTTCAGAAACCAACAGTAGGAAACTCAAGGTTGCAAAACATTCTCTATTTGGTAAAAGTTTTTTTTTTATGCACAGCAAGAAACAGCAGCATGTTTTCTTGTGTGGTATCCGCCTGTCTTATCTCAGGTCTCTGAAGACGGTGAGGCCCAGCTTCCAAAACACTTCAAGGCTGAACTTTAGCTTCCTTTGCTTTTATCTCATCTGAAGGCAACAACACTGCTGAATCATTCATCTCCAGACCTCGCTTCCTGTCTCTCTATCTCAGCAGAAGGAAAAATAACAGCCTGAACATTCGCTAGCATGTCGTTTCCTTCAGAAAGAGCTAGAACGCTCCTAATTGGCCCAGCTGGTAAAGGCGCTCGCTCCAAGAGCGGTCTGAGCCCTGCAAGGCACTAGTTGGGAGTTAAGGGCTGGTCAAGGCACTATGAACCAGGAGTTCCCAACATGCAATGAGCTCAGGGCCACCAGGGTTAGGAGTGGGATTACTTGGCGAGGGCTCTCGTGTTGTCCAGTAAAACAGTGCCGCCCCTGGGTGCTGGCAGGCTCACGGCACCTCTCCTCAAATAAGCTTTGAGCCTCCTGTATGTCACGGTAAAGCTCGAATCTCAGGGTTAACCAAGTCTGATCCTCAAGTGCTCCATTTTCACTGGCTTCCATCATAACATTTAGTGACCTTAAACGATCCTATTAAGGGGATAAAACGTCCAATCAATTCTGTTTCCCAGATCTCCATCAGGTGTGAATTAAAGGAAGCCTCGGAAGCCTGCAATGCCCACCCATGCAACTGAGTGAATGGTTCAAAGGATGGGCATTTCTGGAAGAGCCTGTCCCCCTTCAGGCTTTGTGGGGACAAGGGTCACCCCAAGACAATAAGACAGAATTTACTACTCCAGGCGGAGCAGGAGGATAATTAACGGCTCAAAATTTAAACATGAACACAAAAGTCCTCTGCTAAAGTCTCTAAAATACTTATTCCTCACCATTGTCATTTTCATTTTAAAGAACATTTTAATTTCTACCAATTGGTTTCTGTTATTTATCCCCTGTGTCTAGCAACTGAACTCATTAACAAAAGGCTCAGTCTGAGAGATGTCTCTGTTGTATACACTGAGTCTGTGTTTATTTATTAAATGCATGATTTCTTCTGAAAAACTGACAGAGGAAAAGGAGGGTTTCGATACGGATTTCAAGTGCCTCACTCTGGCCAAGTCCGAGCTCACTGGGGCATCGACAGGAACTCGGAGCACCTACCCCACGTCTCTGTCCAGCATGGTGCCTGGGTGGAAGGGGGGAAAGGCGCTACCGTTTGGGGGCTCTTTTGGAGAGTACAGCTTGAACGACTTAGAGGAACACCCTGCGAAACGAGACAAAACAACAGCACATTTAAAAAACGGCATTTACCACACCTGAAGATTACACACAAATCCATGAAGAAAACCGTGACTCGGGCCCTGTCTTGCACTGCAACTGAGCCCTGCAGCAAACCTTCAACTCCCATCCTTGAGAGTCACAGATTCTGCTAGCCATGTCCATATGGTTAACGGCCCAATTGGGCTAGATTTATTTACTATAATGAAAAGCTGATTTCATTTGACACTTTGATTTAACACTTTGCAGCATTACCTGAACTCGGGAATTCAGAGAAAACTGCGGAAACAGTTTTGATATTTGCCAAGATGTTGCCAACATTAACAGCAACATCATAGTGTTTCACTTTATTTGCAGGAGGGAGAGTCACTGCGCACCTTAATATTGGATGAAGAGGTTCTGGAAAACGTTTTTATGCGATGACATTGCATTATCTGTGTTACAATTTGGCAATACTGCTTTCCAATGTCAGAAAATGCAGATTTTACTTGTAAACCTGCATCCAAGGCACTTTATAGAATAAGCAGAAAATCCCCATACGCAAGAACTAAAATAACAGAAGGGAAGAAACACACCAATTACTTATTTTGTTGCGAAGAATTTCTAAAACCATTATCAGAAATATTTTAGGCTCTAACCTTCAAGTGCTAACAGTCTCGATGACTTAACCGGACCAATGTTTTGCTCAAAACACAAGTTAGCATAATTCCCTGGTCTGTTTGAAGCTAACAGTAAAAACAGGACCGTGGCTCTGCCAGTGTCAGTGTGGACAAGGATAGAGAAAGAACCATGAGAGAAACCATTTCTTGAACACCTGAAAAGACAAAATGAGTCTTTCCACTTTTCTTTCTAAAGATAACCGGTGGTCAAACAGGAATTTGCATGCATTTCACAGAAAGACCTCATCCCCTAATAATAAATAATAATAATAATAACAACAACAACAATAACAATGTCCTCACTCCTGCTGCCCTGCTACAGTGTGCAAGCTGTGCCTGTTACCACAAACTACTCCCCCTGGAGACCCGTGACCTGCTGGAGCAGGGGCAAGTCAGAAAGGAAATAAGGAGGGACACAGAGTCCCGGCTACCCCGTGCAGGGGTACAAGAAAGAAAGGGAGAGATGTAGTTTCACATCTCCCGTGTGGACAGTGGATCTGTCCACACAAGGGGGATGTGGAACAAGCCAGCAACCTCACTTCAGAAAGAGAAATTGGCTTGTGTCGGTTCAGAGGTCTGCTTGAAGTCTAAGCTATACCCCATGAACAGGGCAGCCATTTAACACTCCAGCCTCCAATATAGGAAGGGTTACAAATGAGTGGAGGTCATTCAGCTCACACTAGTCATTTGGTGGTTAGAAGCTTATTAATGGACATTTAACCCTGATCATTAACTGAGGAATTTAGCACACTTCTACCTGCAATACTTCTCCACTCATAGATTTACAGCCCTTCTTATTTGGAGGCTAATTCTGCAATCCACACCAACCATGTACCTGCCAAATATCATCTAACTGGTGAGATTTTAATTTAAAAAAAAACAAACAAGAACATCTGTTTGCTTTGCTAAATGCATCCCACAGAACTACAGTTGCAGAGAATGCCTTTCCTGGTTATTTTAATCCCACAGCGAGTTAAGCACAGTTAATTAAAACGCTGAAATAATTATTCCAGTTACTTGATTACACGCATTTTGAGCTCATTTTTGCATATTTCTGCACACAATTAAGAGTCAAAGGAATTGTTTTCTGTAAATGGGACGAACGGCCCAAGAAAAATGTTTTCCTTCTTTCTGTTATTCAGCCATCTCTTACCTAGTAGTCACCTTTACAGCAGGAAACAGCTAAGAGGCTGTGGACCAACTGGTGTTGCCTCCTCCCCCCATGCAGACAGATGCCCTTTACAGCCAATAAATCAAACCCCCTGCGTTTTATTATCCTCAGGGGAACTGGGTGGTAAGGTTACTTTGAAGGCATCACTCCTGGGTTGTACAGGGATGCTATTTAAGAGCTTGCTCCCTTTCATCTTATGCACAACGCACAACTGGCTGAATCACTGACTATTTTGTGGTCCCATTTTATGAAAACTACCACCCAGAGTGTGAAAACAGAGGACATGGGGAAATGAGGCCTTTCCAGGAGAACAAGAACAACAGGCCACCAACAGGGCTCGAGCACTGAAATACACTCTTACAGTGTTTAAGGTGGTACGTGCAGAGGTGTCCTAGTACAGTGATAACTCGCTCAGACTTCACAGATCTCTGCAGCCTTTCGCTCAAACCTGCGCACTCGTTAGTGGAGAAAGAGAGGTTTACAAACGGTGGAAATGACGTGAGGCTCTCATCACGGCTTGGAGGCTCCTCATAAAAAATGTATAACCGATTTCGGTCATTAAATATTCACTGTACAGACAAGCTGGTCCATGAAATGTCAACCAGGGCTGAAACACCCTCCCACAGCTTTAGGGATGGACGCACACAGTTGTTCTAAGCAAATAAGCACATTTTGACTAGCTAATTTATTCTCATGAGGATGTTCACTGCTGGCTCAGTTACAATGTTTGCAAAGGGTTTGAGATGTTTTCTTATTTAACCTTCTTTCATGTTTAAGAGTCCGCAGTGCTTCAGAAATCAGAGTCTCACGCAGTTGTCTTGTTCTTGACCTATTGCCAGCCTCTGCAAAACAAAACTCAAGACAAGGGATCCAGCCTAAAAAAAGGCCAGAGATTTCTCCATCTGCAGCACAACAACTTCATTCAGCTCCAGCAGATCAGTCACAAGCCATCGAGGGCAAAGAGAACTACTACAGACTTCCCTGTTACACAGGAGAGATCAGGCATTGTGTTGGTCCCACCTGCACAAACAGAATGAGTGGAACCAGCAGGGCTCTACGAGGGAACAGTAGCTTGTTTTAGTGGGACAGGAAGCAAAGATCCAGCAGGGAGGCCAGGAAGGCAACCAAGGGCATGAGTGGAGTCTCCCAGGAAAACAGCAGGCCGCCTCATTCAGACCTTTGACCTGCCAGGTACAGCAAGACACTGGGGAGGGTTCTGTGTTTAGAACATACCTTATCCCTGACAATACAGAGCTAAAGCGCTGCTGGAAATCATTTAAAAACAATAGGCAGGTGAAGTGCATGCCCGGAAATATCTCCCCCTTAAATCTCCGGCTCTAAAGCCTCCGTGTCCGACAGATTATAAAGTCTAGCTCACTTTCCAACACCAAGACAGAAGGCAGCCTTAGCTGAAGCTGGGGTGTGAAAGCTCACAGAGAAGCACTGTGCTGGTTGTTAAAGATTTAGCAGGAAAGTTATATCTGTAACCATTCCCTTCTTTTTTTTTGCCACAAAATTAACCACCCAGTCTGCTTTCTAGACCCGGTGCTTGATGTAATCCATCAGAAAGCTGGAACTACAGCACATATTTCATGTTCACCCAATCCACCATGATCACCACAAAGCATATGGAATACTTTATGGAGACCCCAGATCTCAAAAGGTATGCTAATATACATCCTAGTCGCCAGTGTTTTACTATTATTTTGTAGCAGCTATTCATAGAAAGCTTAATGCATCAGCAGTATCAAGACTCTGAATTATATCCAGGCTAAACCGTTGTTACTTCCTGTGTCTAATCCCTTTGACCCCTGAACACCCCCCACAAAGAGAGGAGCGGACGGAGCCTTTGTACAGCGGGCAGCTCAGACACCGTGCACGAATTTCTGTAGTTACCAACTTACACTGTAAGTTCCAGTAACAGTGCTTTCACAAGACGCTATGAGGTGCATTTTATGTTCGAAATAAAGATAAATGCGAATAAGCCAATAGCTGAATCAATTAAATGAAACACGTGTTTGAAGGAGTATTTAAGATGCATATAAACACTGACTTTTGCACAGCAATAAGTCTCTTCCGCTCGAAAGTTTTTTTTTTTTATTTTGACAAGCTTGCATTTCTCCATGGGCTTCAGCTCGGTCTCTAGCTCTCCGCAGGCCATTTTTAAGAGATGTTCGGGGTTGTTGTGGCGAAAACAAAACACTGTAAGGCTATTTTTCTTTCGTTGCTTCGGCTCCTCCTTATTTCCGTATTATTTCAAACACGAGCATTAAATCGGAATAAAACGCGAAAAGCGATACGCGAAATAACGCGAAGAGATTACACTAGGTTCGATAGGTGTAGTAAGAACACCAGCGATCAGGGCCTAGAAAGACCTCCTTCCGCTTAGCAATATTAACGTGATTAACTGAAAAAAAAGTATATTAAAAAAAAGAAACAAGTTTCCAAATGACAAACAATGCATTTAAAACGAAAGCAATTTAGATCAGATTTTCTTTTTATAGCAGCACTGTACCTGCAAGAAAGTCCTGGTCTGAAATTGATGTTTACAGAAATCCACACAATGACACCTTCCTCTTCGTTTCCTTGCGCGTAGTACGGTTGCGATATTCAATTTCCTTGTTGATGAAGTAAAAAAAACCAACAACCTTTAAAGGGGAAAACGAGGAGCAGGAGGAGGGGGGGAAGGAACCAGCAGGCGTATTTTGCTCCCCGTCCACAGTGCTGTGCATAGAGATCAGAGGCCTTGTGTATGGGCAGAAGCCCGGTGCAGACGGAGGTAAGGAGCCCGAGCAGCCCTTTGTTCCTGGACAGACATGAACAATAGCTGTAGGCCCTCCTCCTTCTGTGCGCTTCCCCCCTTCTCTCTCTCTCTCCCCACCACTAACACTAACCCCTCCGAGCTCCCCTCTCTCACAATGAGGCCCGGGAGCCGCGCCGCGCCCTTCCCGCACACTCCCTCCGCCGAGGCCGCCGCGCCACTCGCTCGCTGGCTACGACGAGGCGGGCGCAGGGTCCCGCATCACACCTCTCTCCCCGACCGCACACGCCTCGGACACGGGCAGCGGGGCAGCGCACAGCCCGGCACCCCTCCACGCTGATGGGGTGACACGCAACCAGCTCTCCGGAGCCGGGATAATAACGACAGCTCGCGTCCTGTATTGGGAGTAGGAGTTGTGTCCAGCCCCGTGTTGAAAGCACTCGTTTTACAGATTACCATTACAGACTACTGCAACTGCTACTGAAATTCATAGTAATGCCCTAAAGCACTGTGAAGAAGGACATCTGGTTGCAATACTTTGATACTTCCAATCTCCCAAAACAAAACAATTACACTGTACAACACGTTTTGGGAGCTCAGATTTACACTCCCATGCCACACTGTATAGACGGGTTAGATATTTTAAATTTCATACAGCCAACGGGCTGTGAATGAATAAATGCCCAATTACAATGCATGCTGTATACCCTTCATAAGGATTTCCCACAGCGAGTGAAAAGGCGAATTAAATACCGTCTACGGTATTTTAAACATCCAACCAAAGTCATATTGATCACAACTGTTCTACAGGGAATAGTAACTCTTTCACATGCATTGCAGGAAGGACCGAGGTTTTCACTTCTCAAGGCCTCGCAGCCCGTAAGCCCTGGGACTTGCGTGGGCACGAATCTCCACTCGCTGCGTTGCCGGGCGCCCCGGAGCCCAGCGAGCGGAGGCGTGACGTATTAGGAGGATTACGGTAAGCGTGCCACAAGCTCCTCCCGCTGGGGGCCAGCAGCCGCTCTCCTGGGATACGGTCGCTGTTCCCTCCACGCGCCGCGCCCCCTACGCTACGTGCTCGACAAAGCAGTCCTGGTTCTGCAGGGCCGGGGGGCCAAATTGTGGGACTGTATGCAAATAAGGCTGCAAAAACGTGACACGGGAAGAATTTGTTAATCTGCGACAGAAAACGTCCATCACAAGCAAGGAGATAGCCAGACGGTCTCAGTGGGGATACTGTAAATTTTATACAGAGTTCCTGGGTTTTATCTA